ATCATTGTTATTTTCTACCGCCTTTACTCCAAAACTACGCTCCCAAAAACTGGGCGTATATCTCGGTTAGTGTGTCCGGGTCGCACCGTCCTCAAGCCAAAAGCTGAAATTCTGCCTTTGAACGGATCGGATAAGCCGATAAGGACCTGCACGCAGAAGCGGATTTGCCAGTCCAGCACCCTCCGTCGAGACTCCATTCTGGGCACTTGGAACAAAATGCTGTACCGTGCTGTACTGTCTGTCGTTGTGTTGGCTACCCTTGGATCGGCTTGTGATGTTGCGGTATGGTTTGGTCTCTCTAATGCAGTACGGTAACGTTCTAGTGGCCAAACAAAACCGATACAACCCTGAACTGGTTCCCGTCGTGCTCGAGCCCGAGTACGCTTTACGGTATCAAGGCCCAGGACCAATCAGGTAAAATTTATTGGAATGCTGATGGATTATATGTTCCTTTAGGGAAAGCCGAATACCCAATTAGCTTGACTGCTCCATTGGTGATCGTTGCGGATATCGAAACGAAGAGGCAATACCAATCCCCGGGTCTGAAGCAGACGATCAACCTCTGGTCCTGGGGATCGTTCGCTGGATGCACATGGAGCGCCGTCCCTACCCTTGGGCTCTTGAAGGTATGTCGTACCGTATGACGATAGTTTTTATCCCTTGAAAAACCCACACTATGTATTTCGAAAATGGCTGTCTCAGAACCTTTAAAGTATCCGGTGGTCTACTCCCAAGATTTAGGACCTCGACGCATGTACCAACGGTGTCCCGTGCCCAGTCAAACCCGGCCGACAGACCCTCCCCATCACGATGGACTTCACCGGATATGACGCCATCATCAAGCTGCTCAAGGACGACTCCCCCTACCAACTCGAAATGATCCTCCACGACCAGGCATCCGGAGACCAGACCTGCGTCACCGCGCAAGCCCGCACCTACACAAAGCAACATTAGACCATGTAAAATAAATAATTTCTGATGAGGAGGACGTCTAAATAACCTAAAAAAAATTTGCAAAACAGCAAAAAGCCTACGACACTCGGTATTCCCAGGCCGTCTCCGATCCAAGTACTAACCGAGCCCAACGTTGCTTAACTTGGCAGATCAGACGGGATGCCGTGCTTTCAACGTGGTATGGTCGTAGGCGAGAGGGTGTGCTCTCGATTAGCCTTTCAAAAATCACGCGACCAACCCTATAATCCGCCTACCGGACTTCCTTGTTGTGCATGAACTCCTGCAAAAACTTTCACGCACAAGGGCTCTATCAGAATTCCGGTCTCAATCTCTGGTCCTTCGTGCTCACACAGAGCAAAAGCCCGTTAACCGGGATGGCATAGATAGGCGGCGATAACCGGCAGTAACCGAAAACTGGCTGCTTCCCCTCAAAAAGATTCACGAATCCATTGATTTACCCGTTTAATTTTGCCTTTAAAAATTGCAGGTATGAGACAGTTTGTCGTGCTGTTCGCCGTCATTTCCGGCTGTCTGGCCTGCGACGCGTTTCCGAATGGCACCGACAAGGCATTTGTGTGAGTCTATTTAGAAAATAGTTTTAAGCAAAAAAAACTTGAAAAATATTTAAGTAATATTGCAGTTGGTGGCCGTCTTGCGGTGGCCCGGTAGTTTACTATTCTGCTCAAATCAGCGATGCTAACGGTTCGTATTTCTTCACCGTTTGAACCCTCGGTTTCTACACGTTCTCGAATCTTTGACTGAATTTTGACTAGGATTTGTAAAAGCTGGATCCCGGAAATAAACACGGTTTCCGCCTGCGTACGTGAATTTTCTAAAATCCGGTGAATTTTTCAGGAAAGGCCGAATACCCCATTTCTCTTATCGCCCCACTGGTTATCACAGCTGATGCCGACAACCAAGGACAGTAGGTTTTTTTACTCCGATTCGAAAATTTATGTAAATAGTCAATACGAAGCCCCGAATCTTCGCGCCGCTGTCAACATTTGGTCGTGGTCAAACAGCGGATTTAACGCATGCAAATGGGTATCTGTGCCTACGCTTGGTTTGCTATCGGTTGGTTTTACTGTTTCGTATCAAAACTTGTCTCCGATAAATCAATAATATGTTCAGGATCTAGATGCATGCGATGAAGGCGTCCCCTGCCCCGTCAAAACTGGCCGTCAAACCCTACCCATGACGATGGACTTCACCAAATTTGACGTAGCACTATTCTTTGCGCTAAAATATAATCTCTTTTGTCTAGAACATCATCAAACTCCTGAAGGACGACTCGCCGTACCAACTGGAGCTGCAATTGCAGTAAGCAAACCATGTCAATCCAAATAATTTTACTAGCGACAAAATCACCGGCGACAAGACCTGCGTGACTGCCCAGGCTCGATGCAAGACTAAATAAATTGAATAAATCTCTGTATTTTATGTACTAAGGCATTTTATGCACGCAAAATCAGCTTTTAAATCCGAAAAAAATGGTAAATGGTTTAATGGTTTTAATGGTTAAAATGGTAAATGGCAATAATTTTGCAAAATAACCAACAAAAAGAAATCTGAAAATGCAGGCGTCACATCCAATTGATGACACGATATTTTGAAAGCATTACGCATCGATGAAGGCAATTCCAGAAGCAAAATTTCCTCATTCGCGCATATGGCTCTGCTTCTCTGTGTATTTTTAGGGTTTTTGATCGTCGGTCTACCAGCTATTCGAAATGGCAAAATTGTCCATGATGGTTAGACATCAAACCGCCACTTTGATAGGTTTAGAAAATGTCTTCCCCTGGTCTATCCAAATGACGACGTGGGAGCCTGTTAATTGGAATTATTTGATGTTGACCTTGACGAGAGGAGGGAGTAGGTTAGTAAACAGTCCAAATGTAAAATAGTGATAAATAACCGTGTTTTTTACAAGGTACCCACAACCATCAGGAGTTTGCGGTGGTATTTTAATAGCACCAAGACTCGTTATGACCGCAGCACATTGTCTCACAATGGCAAAGCGGTAAGGAAGCGCATACAGTTCTATTAATTCTTTAGGCGGTCACTGCCGATGGCCGTCGGTTATCGCGGAGGTACATAATCTACTTTTGTTAATGCAATATCCTAAACTACATTATACTAAGTAGAGCTCTACCGTGTGACTGGCCATATCACCTCCACTAGCTATAATCCTCAATCTCATTGGTATCGAATAGCGGTAAAAAATCTTTCAATACCTGATAATGTTATCTAGAAAGAAGATTGGGCGTTCTTGTTACTTGAGGAGGCTTTCGGAAAGAAGTTCACCGGGTAGGCCCCTTAAAAAGATCAAGTAATAAATCTTTCCAGCGAGATCCCGGAACTATGGATGGATGGATTCGAAACAGAAAAATGTTTCCTTATGGGTTATGGGACGACAGAGGGTGCGCATCTTTAGACCAAAAACACAAAGCTTTAGACCCGGCCTACCAGCCATTCCCACCCATCCAAAAAATGGCTGCGATAATGGAACAAAGAAACGATGCGAACTATTCGACGATTGTAATCGAAAGGACCGAAAATGAAGCAGCCGCTTGTCAGGTGGGCCTAACCGAATGATAAAAATTTATGGTATAAACGTAGGGCGACTCTGGAAGCCCGATTCTTTGCATAATCAATGGAACGTTCAAAGCGGTGGGGCTGATGATTGGTGGGACTAAACGGAGCACGGGGACCGGCAATGCTTGCCCGCACATCCTGAGAAATGCTTATGTTCCGTTCCGGTATTCTCTTTCACGTTGCGTAATTTTACCAACACAAAAGCGCGCTGCTCAACCTCACCGATGCGATGAACCCGACAACCATGGCCTTACAAAGGACAGGCTGGCTATCCCAAGTCATAGAAGAGCAGAATAAACATCGACTACCAATTCAATAAACGTCTAGCCTCTCTACGCTGTAAAGTTTGATAAAACGCGTCGGTTTCACCGAGTCATTTTGCCAGTCTTTACGCCCAATTTTGACAGACGGCTCTCAGGTGTCGTACTCAGGAAAGCACTTCTGGGGCAAACTTACAACAATTTATTTTAAAGACCTGAAAAAAATTGGCATGTCGGTCCGCGCGAGTGCAAAGAGCAATCAACTAGGGGAGCCCCTGAGGTCTCGTAATTTTAGATGAGCTAAAGAAATGCTTTGGAAAACATCAGTTTTTAAGAGGCGAACGGTTTTCAGTTTTCAAAGTTTTCAAAACCCAGACGTCGAAAGTTTCAAGAATTTAAGCACCTTTTGCGGACCGACACACCATTTCTTCCAGGCTTCGCATAATAATACCAGTCAACGTGAAAACAACAAATGACACATCCTTGGACGGTAAAGCACAACATGTTTGTGAGGCAAGATCAAAGTAGGCTGAAAGAAGTGCTGAAAGAGGCTAGAAATCGGACGGGTACCCATCCCCGAACCGATACACAAAATACATAGTACTTAGGAGAGCAAAAAACCCTAACATCTATGAAGTCATGTTAAAGAATCCGCACAATTTAGTCACAATCATGGCGAAAACCGGAATGGTCAATACAAAAAATCAACAAACATAAGAATAGTGGAGAAGGTCCATCTTCTTAATTTCCCAATCGGGGAAGCAGTTCTGGACACACTGGCTGACCTCGGCATAATGCTGAAAAAACAGTTATTTCAAGCAAGCAATCGACCGACCTTGTTGAGAGCAGCATCCATGCCTCCAGCGCCAGCGTGCACGTCAGCGATGTGCTTCTTGACCTCAGCATCATCGTAAGTATGTTCGAAATCGCAGGATTTGCACCTATGCGATAATTAAAGCGAGAAAGAAATAGACCTACTTCAGGAAGGCAATCTGCAGATGACGCTCGAGAAGATGGGACAGCCGCTTCTTCTTGCTGACTGTCGATCCACAGCCTTTGCACTTAGCGCGACGACCTATAAAATCAACAATAAAGTCACATCAATCAACGGCGAAAAATAACACAAAATATTAACCTTCTTCCGAAATCGTAATGTTGGAGAGCCGCTTCGGTCTTCCAGGGAAGCATCGATCGTGGACACCAGAGAAGTCAGCACGACGAAGAGCCACGTTCGAGATCGGCTCGAGACCTTTGGCCTCTTTCTTCGTGTGGTTGTTGCGAAGATGGCGGGCAACGAGACGCGATTCAGCAGCGCCGTAGTCACACAAAGGGCACTGGTGGAGGGGAATCTAAAAAAGGTTTTAACCACGTGTATTTGTCTCACCTTCAAGTGAACCTCAGCGATATGGCGAGACGTCTGACGAACTTCTTCACCGCAGAGTCGGCAGCTGAAGTTTAATTTTAGCATGTGAAGCCGGGCAGGAGACCAAGGTGCGCCTCCTAACTAAATGAAAAACATACGTGGAAAAATCTTCCATTCCACTCGAGGGCAAACGACGGTTGATCCATCCCGGGAAGCACAGATCATTCCATTCGGCGATCTTATCCGAAAACTCCAACAGATTGGCCCTGGGCATCAGCTCCGAATTATCGCGATGGACATATCTAAAACAAAGGGCTCGTAATCCATATCATTGCTTACTTGATATGTGAACGGACATCACTGCTGCAAGCATGATGCGAGAAATCACACAGCGGACATTCGTAAAGCCGTGGTTCTTTGAGATGATGGCGGTAGACGTGAATCTACAAAAAGCCTATATACAAACGTCTCTTGAATACCTGACGATCCTCAGTCTTCATATCCATCGAGCATTGAGTGCAAGTGACCTTTCCATCCTCTCCGTCCCAACGATTCCGACCACGCGACTTTTTCGGAGGCACCTGAATTTGATTTTCTAGAAATTTTGAGTACAAGCTCACATTAACAACAGGAGTTGGTGGTCCATTGCTGCTGCGGCGCTTTGGCTTGACATCCTCCGGCGGTGGAGTCGTGGCTCGCTTTTCCTGATGAGCTGGCTCCTTCATCTTCTTTTTCGGGAAGCATTGTGTGTAGATGGTACGGACTTCGTCAATCGGGCGCTTGTCACGTCCTTTCTTCATCACGGGCACAACGTCGAGCTTGTTGTGAGTCTTCAGACTATGATGCTTCATGCGATACGGATCGCAAGTCTCGAAATCGTTGCAAACAGGGCAGCTGTAGATGGTAGCGCTCAAGTGATCCTTGGACACGTGACGTAGGAAGTTAGAATTAGACTTCAGTTCTTTTTGGCAAAGCTGAAAAGGCCAAAATAGAATTCGTTTTAAGCCGAACGGATCGAAGCTTCAAAAAACGGACCTGGCATTGGTGAGGGTTAAGCGACTCCTTGGGCGGCGGGGAAGAGTATGCATTCTCCAGGTCTTCCTCCGTCATCTCGAATTCAGGATCCGCGTCGTTTTTGAAGTCATGCACCAGGTCCGAGCCACTCATTTCAGCGTCTTCTTTGATCTTGATCTGAGAAAGCAGATTAACCAATGGTAGTTTGAAATGGTACCTTAGCAGCCCGGGCCTGCGGATCATCCTGATCCAACCACCAGAACGACTTGCGACGATGGGTCCAACCAGGGAAGCATTCCTCATTCAGCTGATCGATGAGATCCCTTAAAAGACAAATTAGGTAATTCCAAGTCTTCCTAAGAACCTGAATTCAGCCTCGTGCGATACAGGCTCCAAGTGAAAAGGCTCTTCCTTATGCTCCCATTTGATGTGCCATTTGACTCTAAAGAAAGTTCAGTAGCAGCCACGACAGCCAGAGAATCGCGGAAAGCAGGTAGCTGTCAAATACCTGTGAACATCATAATTTGAAGCAAAGTCGCACATCGGGCATTCGAACACACGCGTCTTCTGCAGGTGACGGTGGTAAACGTGACGTTGGCGGTCGGATTGAGCCACCTAAACCAAGCATGATGCCTAAACAATCCAATATTACGTAAGTGTTGCACAGATTGCACAAGTGACGTTCCCTAGGCTTAGACCCGATTGCCGGTTTGACGAGCTTCATCGGACGCTTCGGGAAGCAGCGATTCTGGAGGTCCCGAATCTCGTCAGCGTACTTCTCGAGGTTCGAAGTTGGCTGGGGATCCTCAACATCAGGGTGGACCTAAAAAAATGCATAGGGCAAAAAATGTGTAATCCGGACCTTTAGCATGTGTTTCACAACGGTACAACTCTCGTAGCTGCCAAAGCCTTCGCAAACAGGACATTCGTAGAGCGGCTTGCGCAAGTGTTTTTGGGCCAGATGGCGACCGGGATATCTTTAAAACTTTCGATAAGAATGTAAGGCCAAGGGAACCTGCTCTCCTCCCAACAAAGCTGGCACGTGCGCTCATCAACGTTAGCCGGATCGATGTTGTTCGGCGGCGAGCGGTTGCCATTGTTAATCGCATCGTCGTAGTCGTATCCGGTGCCATTCCGGGCGTCTTCAGCGCTTGTATCCACGGTTTTCCAATCGTCAAAGCAACGACGCATCCATTGCTATAAATCAATAATAATTCAAAAGAAAGGCAATGTCCATACATGGATCAAGGTGCGATACTTCATTTCGTTGCTCTGCGGATAAGCGTTGGTGTACGTGTGTTCGAGGGCATGTCTAAACACGCAAATGGCAATATTCAACACAAAACTTACTTCCGAACCTCAGTGATTGAGCTTGGATGAGCGAAATCGCAAACCGAGCAGGCAAACATATCTGCTTTGTTGACGTGCATTTCGAGAACATGGCGATAGCGACCGGATAGCGAGACCGATTGACCGCATGACTAAAAAAGAAAAATGCAGAACTAGCCATGTATACTTACGCGGCAGCCATTGTTGTCCTTGTGCTTCCATCCGTCGAACGAAGTGCTCGTAGAAGCAACAGTGCTTTCCCATATGGCTACCAATTCGTCAAGGTAGTTAGAGTCATTCAGTTCCGACGTGCCGGCGATATTCTCAGACTAAACCAAACATCGGTACCGATCCCAAAATTGCCAATTTACCTCCAAGTAAAGTTTTTTAGCGGGCGGCTCAGTAAGGCGCTCGCCGTTCCGCTTGCGACCATTAGCAGGCTAAAAGAATACATATAGCATGGACAAAAACGTACTAGGTTACATTTTCTGGCGGCACTGTAGACCCGATGATCTCTGCCAAGACTTGGTTTAGATCGATAGGCAGATCGTCGTCATTTTCCTCTTCATCCGTGGAAGAATGCGGTAGCTCACCAATCGGAGAAACCGTTTCGGTCGGCGTCAACTCGGCAGAGCTACAGGCAGATTGTTCATCACCCTAAAGAAAACTTTTTTCGAAGAAGATGAAAATACCGCAGCACCGCCATCAAACTCGACGCACGCCATCAAGAAGAGATGCTTCGGATCACCGATGTCGGGAAAAAGGAAGGCTCGAGCAACATACGTCGCATGGGCATCGACCAGGTGGGCCCGAATACCGCCTCCCTGAAAAACAGATTAATATAAACAGAATACAGTTTTAACACGCTCAAGGTTAAATGATTTAGTGCGTAACCCAGGAAGGCCGCAAGGAGCTGTTTTAAATGTCTAGACAAAATCGATAAAGCCACTAACCACTTCATATTCGTGCGCCACTTCCGGCGTTTCGTCATCGCAAATCAAACAGCTGATCGTCTCCATGAGGCACTAGTACATCTAATGAGGCTAGCCCTAAAAATTATTGAAAATTCGGAAGAAAACGAAAAAAGTGGAAATTGTAAACGGAAAAATAAAACGAAATCGGAAAATCGGAGACAATTCGATGGCGCGCTCCCGGGGCCGTAGTGCGTTTTAACGGTGCGATACGATAATCTACGCTACCAAGATACGATAATCTTAGTAGCCTCTCGGAAAAGTTCCACTTTTTATTTTTGAAATTGAAAAGCTGAGAAATCAATGCAAATAAAGCAAACAAAACAAAACATTATTTGGAAGGATTGTTATGAACGCGGGGCGGGTGCAAAGGCATAGTTGGAGTGACGCCCTGGGGTTTTCGGACAGCCGATTACTGCTTGAAGATGGGGTGCAGGGACAAAACGGCTCGCGCAGTTTCAGAAAATAAGGTTATGATCGCGGTTGTTTTGTTACGAAATCTAAAAATGGGTCTAATGCGGGAATTACGGTTAGATAATTAAAGTTTGGTAAATGACGAGCTGAGGGTGGGTCAATTAGATCTCGGAATGGACGGAGAAGGTTGAAAAGCAAAACGGCAACGCGCTTTTGCATTGTGTGGGGGGTCGGGCTGGACAGCTTGGTGGCGGGTTGGTGGTCTACCTATCGGTGGAAATCACTAGGAGATCAACTAGTGCGAAAAATAGTTTCTAGTTAATTTAAAATAATTGATAAATGGGTGGGGGTCGGGTTTGGTGCGTTGATGGTGAATGGGTTGCAAGGCATAAACAGAAGGCGCCGCTGAAATCCGTGGGTTCAAGCAGACGGCCGGCGGGTTGGTGGTCTTCATGCCGGTCGGTGATGCATAGGAGATTGAGTGGTCCAAAAATTAGTTTGGAGGCCATTAAAGGTAGTTAGGAAAAAAGATGAGGTCAATTTGTTTGGAAAGCATAACGACAACGCGCCGTTAAAATTCGCGGGGTCAGACGGGGGGAAAGGCGGGTTGGTGGTCTACATGTCGGTGAAAAATGAGGGTTGAGGGTGGACGGGGGTGTGGTGTTGGTGGTTGGCTGGACGGGTGGTGAGGGGGTGAGGGTGGTGTCCGTGCCGGAGAGCCCGTGTGAGAATCGATATATGGTGGGGGACGTGGGGCGGGAGATGGGGCAGATGGGCGAGTCGGCCGGGGCCGGCCAGGACGGGCTGCTCGCGAGGGGTTGGCTGAGGGGGGATGGGGGTGAGGGAGGCAGGAAGGGCGGGGACGGACCGACGGAGCCGACAGCACGCCGACGCCGCACCGCGCGCTAGCGAGACATAGACACACAACGAGGGCATGGTGGGGGCGGTCGGGGGGCACACGGGCAACCCAACGATGGCATCAATGAAACCGCCGTGTTTGGTTGACCATGTTGGTGACGGCGGCCCTGATTTGGGGTCATTGAAAAGTTACGAAATTTCTGCGGTGTCAGTAGGGAGGAGGAGGGTCAAAGTTAAAGCCGGGCTAGGCGCGTGAGACCGGAAGTTAACTAACCCGAAGAGAGACTAGGGGAGGGGGCGAGCAAATTTGCGATTTTGCCTTCGGGGTCTTAGTGGCGTCAAAGAGGGTATATGGCTTGCCAAAATTCGATAGTGAGTTCAGCTACTTTTCTAGTCAGCCCTAAAGAGCATCTATACTAAGGACTGGAAAAACTGACAACCAGAAATTAATTCAAAACATACAACCTTACCTACCGCCGACTTCAACAAGTTCAGTTTTAAGGAAAAATATATTAATGAGGGTACGGTACTGTAATATCTTTAAAAATACATTATTCTACCACTATGCCAATTTAGTTACTTTATTACACCTTCATTAGGATATTTACGTATCTTAACAAAATTTATTTCCTCCTAACACCGCTTCCAATTCCCTCTCCACTAGCACCAGCAAAATACATGAAGCCCCTCAGAATGCCTAACAACGATTCTTATCTAAAATGTTGTTAACATATTTTAAAGCGAGCAGAAGCTGAGTGTGCCCCCTCCCCCTGTCCAACATGCCGTTCATGCCATCGCTGAGCGGTGGCTGAGGCAAAAGAGGTTCAAATCTTTGTGCCCGCCTCTCATCAGTCCGTTATCATACCTTTCTTCAGTCTGCCCTCCCAATCCTATCGCCTCCTATCGCTCTCTATGCCCTCCCTTATGTACAGCCACCCTCACTTCAGCGACCCCACGAACAGCTAGCAGGTCAAAGAGAGGCCGACCCCGGCTCACCCGAGGACTCCAAGCCGCGCGCCTCAGAGCGACCGACTAGCCGTTGGCGCCTTTTGGGGAGATGATTGGATGATTGATATGTTGTCAAACCATTAGAAAAACATTGGAATGAAGTTCTAGGTGGAGAATATGGGATTCGATCTGTACGGTTCTTGCTTGCAAGGGGACAACAGTGTTTAGATACTCCGCTATGGCTTTCCATGTCCCAATTTACTATCACCTTCATTTGTGGTAGATAATATTAAAATAACCTAGTATCATAGCAGCTTACCGTAGCGTCTTCTCTCGTCTATTTGCAAGGCCAAAAAATACAGTAGGAGCAAGCGTGCGTAAAGTTTCTAGCAACTTTTGAACCATATTGAAGTTAGTTGATGCAGCTTGGCTGTGTTATTATAGCATTTATTAAAAAACGTATGGCAACTACAATTAAAGGAACCGGGAAGTCATCCATTTGGGGGGTACATTTCGGGGGTCTGTGCAAATTTATGCTTTCTATCCAACCTTGGATGCCTCGTTATGGTATCAAATGGCTGGATCATTTCTTGATAGTCGACATGATGATGATGAAAATGGCAATGGGCATAAAGATGAGGACAAAGGCCATGATTCCTATAATACGTCGCCGACGAATCAATTCTGGAGTAGGTGCGACGACACGTCTTTCAACGAGAATGGCTGAAATATGGCATTTCCAAAGTGTAGTGCAATTTGCTACTGTCATATCATGGATGTTAGCGACGAACATCTATTTTTTCAAGAGTCATGAAGCGGAATCTAGCCGTATGCAATTTCTTAATTTTTTTGGGCAGGTAAAATCTTACTGGAATAATGAAGAAAGAGCTAAAGGTTCGTAATGTTGCTCATTCGAGAGAGCATATTTTGCTACCTGAGAAAATAGGGACCATTGGAACACGAAGTTCTCCACAAGGTTTTAGAAACGGTTCAAAATAGCACAAGATATTTGAAGCATTCTGGTACCAGCCCACAATTTTTGGGACAATTCTAGCAAAATGCTTTGTAACTTTTATCATCCGCTTTTTTTAATTTTTAAAAACCCGTTTGTAATCAGCAAAAAATTCCGCAGAACGTAGGTTGGGTCTTGTTTTGAAATCCGCGCAGAAGAGGTTCCCTTGGTAGTAAATGGGATGCGGTAATTTCAAAAACACTATTTTTCTTCGCTTTTTTTTTACCGTACCTCGTCGATGATGATACACAGGCATTTGATTATATTGATCTGTAGTGCATCCATATCCTTGTGGCCCATAAATGACTTGGCCGGGAATTTGTATCGTCGCAACCGGGGACCCAAGGTTTGGGCCTAAAATCAAGAAATAGCCTGAAGAATACTTGTATTACCGGGATATTCCGGATATGGAGGGCTGGTGGGAGACAATGGTTGTGGCGGGGCTGTTGCTGGATACTTATCATGCTCTTCATAAGCTGGTGGCGGCTGGGCCATTTTCTGGAATTGTAGTATGCTTTGCATATAGCACGGGGGCCCCCCAAATGTCGAGGTCCGAAATGCAGAAGGGGCAGGGAGAAATCTCTTTTTTTTTTGGAAATTTTTTTTTTTTTTCTTTTTGCCTGCGGCGCTCGTTTCATTAGTGCACCATTTTTGCTGAACAAAATTTCGCTTGCGCGCGCCGTTTCCGATGTGTTTTCACACGAATTTAAGCGTTACGAACGCCGTTTTCTAAATTTTTTCCTCGCGTTTGCGCTATTTCGAAGGTTTTGAAAGTGGCGACCGACCTGTTTATTTGAATGAAATCTAAACATTTTAAGATCAAATCAAGCCCGAAAATGAGTATTTTTAAAAACTATGACTGAACCGGCTGCTTTTCAGCCAGTTCTAACGATAGACACCAGAACGTTTAATATAATCCAGATTTCGAAATGTAAGGCAAAAATACAGCATAAAACGTGACTCATGCCAAGACCGGTGGCTATGAAGCTGTACTAGTTTTGGCAGCCCAGGAAATCGGACGCTTCAGCCGATAGATCGATATTGTTGTGAAAGGCTTTTCCGAAGGAGGCGCCGGTTGATAGCAGCCGCTTAGAAAGGGCCATGGTCCAGTCGGTTGGCAGATAACGGGGGGTAGGCATACGAAGACCGCCTGCTTCACATCTAATCTGATCCTGTTACGTAATTGACCTTTGTTTAATACGTCGGCCAGTTCCCATTGCTTCTAACGAGCATCCGGTAGATAGGACGCATCCGCATCTCAAGTTAGAGAAAAACGGCCGAATATACTATTTTTTTTGTCATAGTGTATGGTGCATGCATTTTTGTACTGTGCTCCAAATTATTTCACTTAATGTTACCTATTCAGGAGTTTTTAAAATCTTAATTTATACTTGGGGCTTATTTCAAGGTTTTGCAAAAAAAAATACGATAGAAAATACCTTCTAAACCCATATTTAAGGAATTACTGTAGGTTTTTAAAAGAACATCCGTACATTTTCTCGCACCTTTTTCCTCTTGTTAGTGTGGACCTCGAGTTAGCTGAACTGCTTGCAGTCGCCGCGTTTCACAGTTTTAAATTGAGCCATTTAGTGTACGATATTTTGTTCGGTCACTTATTATTACCCCCTATTCTCAATCGCAACGTTTGCTTCAGAGATTCGGGGAACTGTGGGAGCAGCGGGTGGAGTCGGGATGAGCCTGAGTGAGGGGATGTCCTTGAAGAGACTGACCTGGATCCACCCGGAATCGATGCCGCCGGCATTCCGTCTATCCGCTTTATCAATTCTTCTACCACCATCGTCCGATGGAATATCTCCACGAATTTCAACGTCGTGGCGCTGAATTTTGGAAGGACTTGAACACGTTCGAGCTCTACCAAAATGGGTCTGTAGACCACGGAATACATTCAGGCTATAAATATTCGTAAGTTTCATGTTGAAGAAGTTGGACTACATTCGAATAAAATAAATCAATTTTCTTATATATTTTTCCAAAATCCAATTTTTTTCAGATGGGCCCTACCCTTCGAAAAACTCGAAAATCCGGAGCATGTAACGAGACTCCTGCAACAATACTGGCATTGGACAATTTACATTTCGGTATAAACACAATTTCGCAATATCGAAAATCATTTTAGGTGGTCTACTTCATCTTGATCAAGGGGATTCAATACTTACTCACCAACCGCAAGCCGTTTGACCTAAAAATCCCGCTCGTACTATGGAATGGAGCACTGGCCGTGTTCAGCATCGCCGGATTTCTCCGTTTTGGAGAGGTACGACATCATAAATATGCCTTGCTAAACCCTAAAACGTAAAAAACCGAAAATTTTAGGACCTCTTTGACACGATGAAAACTCGTCCAGCCTACGAATGGGTTTGTTATTCGTGCCACCCAAAGGACGTAGCGGCATTCTGGAGTCTTATGTTCGCGCTGTCCAAGGTTGGTGCTTAGAGATGGTTTTTAAATGTTTAAAAATCATTTAGCTTGTTGAACTGGGAGATACGCTATTTATCGTGTTACGAAAGAAGCCGCTGATCTTCCTCCACTACTACCACCACGTAGCCGTGCTGATCTACACTTTCCATTCGGGTAGATTTGATAAGACACGAAGCTGCTAAATATAAAAATCTAGGGGCTGAACACACGGCAGCAGGGCGAGCCTTTATCACGATGAATTATTTTGCGCATTCGGTAATGTATACTTATTATACCATTACGGCATCTGGAATCCGTGTCCCAAGGTGAGTGATAGGGTTGTTATAAAGCTATAAATTTGAAAATTCTAATAAAAATGCTTAAAAGTACCCTTTCCAGACCTATCGCAAAATCCGTGACTATCGTTCAAACCACCCAAATGCTGGCTGGAGTTGCTGTGTCCTGTTTTGTCCTCTGGGTCAAGGATAACACGAATTGGCCGTAAGTTTCAACTAAAACCCTCTAAAACCAAATCAGCTGCCAACAATCCCGTGCCAACCTCGGACTCGCTTTCCTGATCTACACGACATTCCTCGTTCTGTTCCTCCATTTCTACTGGAGAGCCTACCACAGCCGACCAGCTGCCAAATCCACTCAACGACCAAAGAAGGATTAGATTGCATAATGAATAAATGGTTACTACATGGGTTATTTTTAATAATGATGTTACTAACATATATTTACTTTAAAAAATTTTTGGTTTGTGCTGATCTCGCGACAAGGAAATCTCGGTTCTGGACTGCTGCGGGTTGCTACAAACTTAAAGAAATATTTTCCAAAAATTTTGGCACTGCTTGGTCATTTGTTATAAATTTGTGAGAAGGGGCAGATGTTTGTTTTTTTTTTTTTTTTTTTTTTTTTATTTTTTTTTATTGTTTTTGTTTTTTTTTTTTTTTTTTTTTTTCTGTGGGGGGGGGAGAGAGAGGGGGGGGGGAGTTTTTTTTTTTTTTCTTTTTTTTTTTTTTTTTTTTTTCCCCCCCTTTTTTTTCCCAAATTTATTAAAATATTTTTTTTTTTTTTTTTTTTTTTTTTTTTTTTTTTTTTTTTTTTTAAAAAAAAAAAAAAAAAAATTTTTTTTTTTTTTTTTTTTTTTTTTTTTTTTTTTTTTTTCTTTTTTTTTTTTTTTTTTTTTATTTTTATTTATTTTTTTAAAAAATTTTTATTTTTTTTTTTTTTTTTTTTTATTTTTTTTTTTTTTTTTTTTTTTTTTTAATAAAAAAAAAATTTTTTTTTTTTTTTCCTTTTCCGCTTTTGGGGAAAAAAACATTTTTTTCCTTTTTTTATATTTTTATAAAATTTTTTTTTTATTTCCCGTAAAAAAAAAAAAAAAAAATAAATTTTTTTTTAAAAAAAAAAAAAAAAAAAAAAAAAAAATTATAAAAAAAAAAAAAAAAATTCCCCCCCCCTTTTTTTTTTTCCAAAAAAAAAAAAAAAAAAAAAATGTTTATATTCTGTTAGAGAGCCGTAAAGAATCACAGGGAAAATTTAGTCCCCCTCCCGAATAAAACTAGCTCCCCCCCCGCTAACGGTTCAGAACCGAAATCTCCAGAGAACGAAAGCTAAAAAACGTTTGGCCCTCTGGCCGCCGTTGTTTTGTTTTAACAAAAACATCGGAATGTAGTTGATTCATCGCTCGTGGGAACACAGGTTTTCCTTGAAAACGAAAGATTTTGCCATTTTGCCGACTATCGCTTGTGAAACCTTTGGTTCGCCATTCGTTTTCCATAAATCGTTGGCCTGGGAAAGGAGGCTGACGTCGAGCTTTGAGTGAGCGGCAGGGTCCCTTGGTTACGCCCCCAAAAAGGCCATCGATGGCCGCAATTCCTTTTGCATAGGAAGACAAACTACATTCGTGACATTCCTTCTCCCAAGACATTCTAGGCAGTAAGCCTAGAGGAAATTTTGTGGGTAATTGCTATCTAGAAGAAACTTAGGTTAAGGCAACTAGCTTAAAATATTATAAAAAAACTTCATTCTTATATTATCGCCAGCCCGCATCTCGCAAAAAAACAGTGGATTGCTTATCAACCTTTTGGCTAACCCCGCAGTAGCTACTCTTTTACTGCGTTGGCACTTTGCCAACCGGGGCCCTATTTTCCAAACAATCTCCCTTTGTCTGTTTACACAACCTTTCCTGACAGGGTTGAGGGAAATGAAGTCAATTTGCTGCCCGATAAATAGCGGCTTTCTAGGATTGTTTTTATCCTAAGAAAGAGCATGACTTTCAGAATATAGAATCAAAAACTTCCATTTAATTAAAAACATTATCTGCTTAGCCAACCTAGGGATTTTATTTAATATGAACTCAACATTTTCAGGATCTTTACTACAATCAGCCCATTTTTCCCATCCTAGAACCTTTTATCAGTCGAACGGCCCCGGGTCAAAACTATGCGATGCCCAATTAGACGGACTCTCTAAGCCGCCTTTGATAAGCACCGTCATAGCCCAAATAGCTTTCGGGGCTGATTGTGCCTCGATTGTGTTGTTGTCGTTACTGCCTTGCTTCAGCTATCGATTGACTTTGCATAGCCGTCGACCACCACACCCGGTCGGGAGACAGCCAGAGAACTATAGAGGGTATAGGAGTATAGAGGAAGGTGGCTCTCGAATGTTTGTCCTCGAAAAGAGAGCCTCAAAAACTCTCCCTCCTCCTCGCCCCATTGCTCACATTTCCACACACACAGCTCCCCACACCAATCCGTGCTACCCTGTTCACCGAAAAATAGTCGTCATCCCACCGGATACAAAAAAGCCCCCACGCTGACTCCCATTGCCTTTTATTGACGCTCGGATGCGGATATCCGGTTTTATATTGCATATTTTCTGCATAATTGGCTCGCTTCCACATATACACATGCGTTCTCAGCATGCCTTTTCTGCCGGATACTCTAGAGAGGAAATTTTTTCAATTTATCACGCTTCGCCGGTCATACCTTTGCGCCCATTTTTCAGCTGCTCGCCCATTTATGTTCCCCAAATTAAAATTTTCTTTTTTAACAACGTTCCCTCTTTTCCATAGTGTTTTCCAAAACCTTGACACCTTTTTCTTCCAAACCCTTGAAAACTCTTTCTAAATTCAGATTAACCATCCTCTCCCTGGCAGTTGAACAACACTCTACCATCTATCCGCTTTATGTCACGGGCCACGGGAGGGAAGTTGTGTGAAGGTAAGGAAATTCCACGTTGAAATCAAATGGGTTGCGCGGTTGCGCAAGTTAACATCACCGACGGAGCTAGCATACTCCCGTTTCAATCACGAAAGACCGGTTTTTTCGCTCGGTTTTTATCAGCAGCCTTCAACGGCAAATTGATCTTGGCTGGCTACGCCTATCAACCTCACCCCGGTGTCTTTTTTCTCTTTTCCCCCGATATCCTCCTCGCCCAGGAAAACAAATTTCCGGTGAATCCACCATGATGTAGTTGAGTCATCCGTCAAACGTCAGCACTCTCTTACCATTTGTTTCATAAGCTCGATTTATACATCACATCACAAAAATGAATATAACATGGTGGCAGTCCGTTTCAATACGGCGCGAGTTACTGTGTCAATAGGGATGCACGCGGAAACAGTTTTGTCGTCATCTCTCTTTTTAATTTTTGTGACTCCCATCAAAAATGAAGCTCCCTAGCAGATACGATAAACCATTGTCATGGAGTAGCCGATATCCAAGCTTACTGGATTTAGAAAAAACAAAGTAATTTCCGCTTCTTCATGATAAATTTCAATTTTTTAGAATGCCGACTGGCGGCCATGTGCCCGCAACACGGAAGATTGTTATAAACCAAGATCATCAGCCCCAAAAATGTCGTAATAATGTGATCAGGTATGCCTTTTTTCACGCTAAATTTTTGTTTTTATAGTACATGTAAATATGATGCGCTAACATTTCTGCCTCGCTTCCTCTACGAGCAGTTCCGACGCTACTCCAACATTTTCTTTTTATGTATCGTGCTTTTACAGGTATTGTTTGACGATATTTACTGTGATTTGCCTTTTTTGCTTTTAGCAAATAAACGGGATCTCCCCGACGGGTCGTTATACAACACTGGTGCCATTTGTGATCATTTTGACGGTTTCTGCGCTCAAGGAAATTTTTGAAGATATAGTAAGTGATTTTGCAACGTTAAACATATGCCATGTTTAGAAAAGACGTACATCCGATACAAAAGTGAATAACTTCCCCACCCATGTGTTGAGAAATGGCAGCTTCACAGAGATCAAATGGAAAGAGGTTTGTTTATTGGCGGATTTGACGTCATTGATGAATTGTATAGGTTCGCGTTGGCCACATTATCCGGGTCGACTGTGACCAGTTGTTCCCTGCCGATCTGCTTATAGTGGCTTCGAGTGAACCGCAAGGAATGGCTTATATCGAAACCAGTAACCTTGATGGTGAAACGAACTTGAAAATCAAGCAGGTTTGTTTATTAGTCTTTTGATGGTTTCATTCTCATTCATCTGGCGAATTTCATCTTTTAGGCCCTGGATAATACAGCCAAGATGACTTCTTCAAATTCTATACAAGAACTGACCGGAGCACGGATAGAATGTGAGCTGCCATCGCGGAATGTCAACGAATTTTCTGGGAATTTGATCTACAAAGACGATACCCGGCATTTTGGTGCGTATTTTTGTGTGATTACTATGATTTCTCGATAGGTATGGACCAGCTTCTGCTTCGTGGAGCGCGCTTGAAAAATACACCTTGGATTTACGGCGCAGTGATCTATTCGGGACATGATTCTAAGCTTTTGATGAACAGCAAGAGTGCTCCACTGAAGAGGTATTGCTATCTGTCCTGATTTAATTATTTTGTAGCGGAACGATTGACCGAATGACTAACCGCCGCATCATCGTACTGTTCGTCGTCTTGGTTTCCTTGGCACTGGTTTCAGCAGCTGGCCAGCAGGTGTGCAAAGAAGGTGTGCAGGGTACAATTTGTTATTTTAGATTTGGAACGCCTACAACCTGGAACAATCGTGGTATTTGAACCCGATCATGAAGGGCCAAGGAAACAATTTCACTGGTTTCATCATGAATGCCATCACGTTCTTCATCCTGTACAACAATTTGATCCCGATATCTTTGCAAGTGACGCTCGAGATGGTCCGCTTCTTCCAGGTTTCGGATTCTTGGCTAGCATAATAAACCCGTGTTTAGGCCTACTTCATCAATTGGGACCTGCAAATGTATGACGAACGGACAGATTCACGAGCCATCGCAAGGACAAGTAACCTCAACGAAGAACTGGGTCTTGTTAAATTCGTTATGTCTGATAAGACTGGAACTTTGACGAGAAATGTCATGAAATTCAAGAGGTTTGTTTTATCACGTTTATTATATTTACGGATTTTGCTTCAGGGCTACCGTGGCCGGGAAGAAGTATGGAGACAATTCTGGTGAAGAGTTCGAAGATGATCATTTGATGGCAGACGCAAAATCGGTTTGTGAACAGGGTTTTGATTGAATTTCCTTATAGAATGCCGAAGAAGCGGTGGATATCCGAGAACTACTAACGATGATGGCTGTTTGTCACACCGTCGTCCCCGAGAAGAAGGATGATGAGGTTGGCTTGTATTGATTGAAATACGGAATGTTTCAGATCATATACCAATCGTCCTCCCCTGACGAAGGCGCCCTTGTGCGCGGAGCGGCCAGCCAGGGATTCGTGTTCCACACACGTCAGCCTCAACGAGTTGTCATAAAGATGGTATGAAATTATCTGGCTTCGTAAAATGTCGTGTTTCTTCAGTTCGATGAGGATCTTCCATTTGATATCCTTGACGTCATTGAGTTCACCTCGGACCGAAAGCGGATGAGTGTCATCGTCAAAGACGGTCAAGGGAAGATCAAGCTGTATTGTAAAGGCGCGGTAGGTCCTTCGCAATTTTAACGTTATTGTCGTCAGCACGGTTTGCGTTTAGGAATTCATAGCTGTTTTTAGGACACGATGATCTTTGATCGCGTCGACCCGGACTCCAAGCAAACAGTCGACTTTGTCAAGGATTCATTAGAAGAATACGCAACCTTCGGTTACCGCACTTTGTGCTTTGCCAAGAAAGATATCAGCGAGGTAAGCATTTGCATCTTTCCCGCATACATCGATTTTAGTCTGAGTACAACCAATGGTCACCTGAATACAAAAAGGCTGGTGTAATGATCGAAGGGCGAAAAAAGGCGTTGGAAGAAGCAGCTGAGAGAATTGAGAAAAACATGAAGCTTGTTGGCGCGACTGCCATTGAAGACAAACTACAAGAGGTAAATATCTACCGCATAATGGGTTATCGACTTTTTACAGTACGTACCAGAAACGATACAAGCATTGATGGCGGCTGACATCCACGTTTGGATGCTGACTGGCGATAAGCGAGAGACGGCAATCAACATTGCTCACTCTTGTGCACTGGTCAATCAGAATACCGAGCTACTGATTGTTGACAAGACCACCTATGATGACACCTACCACAAGCTGATTCAGTTCGTCGACCGTGCCAAGCAACTGGAAGAGCAGAAGCGGTAATTACCGACTGGCATTGCCTAACTAGATATTTTCAGGGAATTTGCGATGGTGATTGATGGCAAATCCCTAGTCCATGCGCTGACCGGAGAAGCTCGCGACTATTTTGGGCAGTTAGCTTTGATGTGCCACTCAGTAGTCTGCTGCAGAATGAGTCCCATGCAAAAGGCAGAGGTGAGCTTTTACTAGCGATCATTAAAGTTTTCTTATTAGGTTGTTGACATGGTACGAAGACTCGGTGATCACGTTGTTCTGGCCATCGGTGACGGGGCCAACGATGTGGCCATGATTCAGGCGGCTAATGTCGGAATCGGCATTTCTGGTGAAGAAGGACTGCAAGCAGCCAGTGCTTCCGATTATGCGGTACTTTTGTTCCAACAATGTTTCAACGCCGGTTTAGATAGCACAATTCCACTTCCTACGACGTCTACTCCTTGTGCATGGTGCCTGGGATTATGATCGATCGGTCAAAGTCATCCTGTATTCCTTCTACAAAAACATTTGCCTCTACATTATCGAGCTTTGGTAAGCCCCTGAAAATTACCCTTTTATCTTATTAGGTTCGCATTCTTCTCCGCATGGTCTGGACAGACAATCTTTGAAAGATGGACGATCGGAATGTTCAACGTCATCTTTACGGCATGGCCACCGCTGATCATCGGCCTTTTCGACCGTCCTATCAACGATGAGCAGATGATGCGCTTCCCAGCACTGTATTATTCCTTCCAGAAGCGTGCCTTCACTATGGATGTATGTCTCCTTAGTTATTTTTCAATGTTTTGCTTTCAGAAATTTGCCGGCTGGATTGGAGTGGCGATATATCATTCCCTGCTTTTATACTTCCTTACCTACTTCTTCCTCGACGAACAGGTATCGCGATATTTTCATTTGAATGATGAGCATCTAGGTCGTGTGGAGCAATGGTCGTGTAGGTGGCTGGTTGATGCTGGGGAATTCCACGTATACGGTTGGATTTCGTATACCTTCGCTCATTCCCGATTTAGTTTGTGGTAATCACCGTCTGCCTGAAAGCGATCCTGGAAACGGATTCTTGGACGTGGATCAGTGGCTTTTTCTGCGCAATTTCAATTGCCTCATGGTTCGTGCTCGTCTGGGTCTACAATGAGGTATTTGGCAATTTAATCTGCCAAAACCCATTCGCCAGGTCTTCCCGACAGTAGAGCGCATCGGAGCCGATATGGCTGGCATGTTCTGGATAATGTGCTCGTCTCCTACATTCTGGCTCGCTCTGATCTTCATCCCAACCACAACTCTGCTGGCCGATTTATGTATAAAATCGTAAGTTACAGAATTGGTGCGGCTTACAAATAACTTTTATTTTAGTTTGAAAGCCACCGTCGCTCCGACTCCACGCGAACAAGCAGTGCGCATGCAAAAGCGTCACGGCTTTGAGCGACTCATTAGGTACGTTGACTTTCCGAACATTTCCGCGGCAATATTTTGTTAGCACTTTCTGTGCTTAGCTTCTGCCCTCCCCGCTCTGTTAGACATGAAAATATTCGGTGGTGGCCTCCCGTTTGGCGTGGTTATAAACGAAGGGGCAGGCGCTTGTTATTGAGTTGAGTAGTGTTGACCCTTTTCGTTCTTTTTTTTTTGGATGACCGGCGATCGCTGCGTTATGCGCTGTGAATAATCAAGTCTTGTTAAAACTGAAATCGTGTCGTCACATAGTCGTGGCTTCTGACATTAGCTAGATTATTAGTAGATTATATTAACTATCAAGCGGCTTCCTCTTCGAAATTATGCCTGCATTGCCCCGCTATAAGCAATCCGCGTCCGCTTGCCGGCTTGTGTGGCTCCATTTATCCGTTGAAAATAGCACTAGCACTCGATGGAATGCAGTCCACTGTCCCGCGAATAATTTGTCTACACCCCCGTTTTTCGTGATCCTCGATTTATGTGGCTCGTTGATGAGGATTTCGGGATAGGAGGACTATATTTATGAGCTTTACGCATTTTCTGCTTTTGCTTGCTTTTCCATTAGAGCTGGGTTTTTGGTATCCTCAGAAATACCTATCTAGTTACCCGTCGTTGTTAGCCCGAATTCCCCGAAGTTCTCATCAACAGGCCATGCGTACCGTGCACTCTTTGCATCTTGTGAGCTATGGCCTTTAGGGACCCGAAGAGCCAGACTACAAGCCCTGCGAAGACGGATGATGCTCCAACCACCTCGTCTGGCTATGACAATCTGGGGGCTGAATACGGTAGCACGGATCGTGTCTCTGATGAATGGAGGGCCCGTGTCTTTGATCGTTCCCAACATAATGGAAATAGTCATATTCCGCGGAATGGCGTTGAGCCGATTCCGCTGCTCCCTTTTGACCGTCGTGCCCCTTCCTACGATAACCCTGCCCTCGAAACCCGTGACGAGGGCCCCTTTGTAACCGAAATCAATATCCGCTGATTTTCCCTTTTTGTATCCTTTTTCTGTCGATTTTTTGGTTTTTATATCAATGTCCGTTGCTGTTCCATTTTTTTTTGATAATTTGAAATCAAATTGTCTATCTTTTTTTCTTCCCGCGATTATGTTAGAATCTGCGGGCTACTACCACTTATCCCAATTCAGGCTCTATTCCACCAAATCTTCCAGATAATTACTTACCCGTCGTGATCGTCAATCTGTGTTGTGGCCTTTTTCATGCTGGTGCTCTTTCAATTTCTTGTCATTGAATACATAAATCTTGCTACCGTAATCGGTTCCAATGACTCCCCGGTCCCGTACACAGAAACAATCCTTCGTTCCGCTTCACCCCTAAATCAATCTGCTGACACTTCTTCGGCTTCTGTGGATCTTGGTGAGCAGTGACTGTCGGTATGCAATATACAAAGTATAAGCAACAAAACTACTTGAAATGCATGTGCGTGCGGTTTTTCCGGGCTGCCACTGAAAGGGGTTTTGAACATAGGCCCATCCCTGATAATACAAGCTAGCTTAGAATTCAGGTCAAGATTTCTCCCATTTCAGTATTCGCCTTTCTAGCTACCAATCGACGTCGGCGGCACCGATCTTGAGAAGAGATCGCGAAAGTCGACATTCCGATTCGTCACTCGCCCTTCAGGATGCGACCCGGTGTAAGCTTTCTGCATTGATGTTGGCTAGCCTCTATTCAAACTTTATCCTTCCTGTCGTGTTTGCTCCTTTCTTGTCGCCGAAAGCCTAAGCTATGCAGTTGGAAAAAACGCACGCGCCATGAAATAGCTAAATATAGAGGGAGCTAGAGCTATTGTAGCTACTTTAATCCATCCTCCATCAATATTTGTGGCCTCTATTCCCTTACCAATCCAAAATCTTCGGCACATGCTAAGCCGTAGTTCTAGTGACCGCACACAGCGAAGCTTCAATAGCTTTGCGCGAGCTTACGCGATGTAAGTTTGGCATGCAGCGATTTCATTTCTGAAACTATAACAAATGCTGTGGCTAACTGGGATAAACTTAGCAGCAACAATGCTCATTATTTTCAGATGGATTTGCCTTTTCGCAAGCGGAAGAAGGTCCAATGGAACAGACAGAACTGATCAATGTGGATTCGACGATGGATAAGCCATCGGGCCTTTGAACTAGTTTTATTTCTTCATCTCTATGTACGATATCTCTGACCAAATAACTAGCTAATACGATACGTGTACTCTAGCCACTGAATTCTGTGTAGTCATAGGCGTGCTTTCTTGCTGTGACATTTCCCAAAGCCGGTATTATATTCATCCTCATCTTGTTGTGCCCTGCATTCATGCTATCCCGATTCGGCTTCACTAGTTCTTGATAAAATATATTTATTTAACAAGCCACCGCTACGTATGGATGGCTACAAAAATAATTTGATACCCTAAAAGAAACGAGCAGAGATGCAAATCAACGGGACGAACGGTAGGAATTAGGCAATTGAGATTGAGCCGGAGGAGCAACGTAACAATGTGAATAAATTAATTGCTTTTGAAAACGGGAAGAAGTATGCTGTGGGCGGGTGTGAAATGGGAACAATTTGACGCGGAGGAAGCACCACTGTTATTATATAACATATCTAGGCGCCGAGGTAATCGGATGTTTTGGGTAGCGTAGGGAATGGAGACCACACATTTTTTACAGGGTACCGGTGTTTGGAGATGACAAGGAGGAAGTGAAAACGGCAGTGACGTTTTACACAAGGGCAAAGCGATAATTTGTTTACCTTAATCATAACGACGGCTGCTGTGGTGCTTACGATCTCCATGATGACGATGGCTGGAGGAGCGGTGATGATCGCGATCGTATCTAAACTGACATCATTTGAATTACACCGAAATTCTGACCTCTCTTTCGAACGCTTCCTTTCCTTCGAACGGGAGCGTGAGCGGGATCGCTTTTTCTTTTTCTCATCACGATCGTCCCGTTTCTTTTCACTTCGCTTATCTCGTTTCTCGCGCTCTTCTTGCCGTCGCTTACGATCCTCTTCCTGGAAATGCAAATAGTTAACGGGTAAGGCAGGAATTTGGCCGACGGATCTTCTTTAGGCTACGTACCCGCTTCCTATCCCATTCCTCGATTGTTTCACGGATTTTACCATATGTCAAGTGCATTTTCCCCATCAGGTGATCATCGATACGGGATTGTGCATCATTGACAAGCATGTAACAGCCACACACCTAATCGTATGTTGCATACACTATCTTGGTAAAATTACTAACCTTACAAACGTGCATGGGCTTTGGATCATTCGACTGGCCTTCCATCCTCTTCACTTCTTCCTGATTCAGCTTCAACATTTCTTGTTGTTGCTAAATCAAATTTTCTCATGCTAAATCATGTAGAGCAAACCTCCAAAACTTCATTTTCCCTTAGAAGCTCCTCGCCAGCAGCAACGTTTCCTTGTTCGCATAATTCCTGGATTTTCTAAACAAAAATTTTGAGTAGATTTAAGAAATACATACCACCAGATTTTTCTCAATTTTCTTGGCCATTTCTGTGATCTTATCCTCTTCTTTCTGAAAAAAATAGTCAAGAAGAACATGAGGAAATACCTTTTTCATTTCAGCTTCTTCGGGCATAAAAGCCTTGACACCACTTTCCAGCCGTTGCATATTCTTATCAATTCTGCGTTTTACTTCTCGATCCAAACCTCGCAACCTGAACATATGCAGAAAAGCAAACAAATTTGTACCTCTCGATAAAGCCCTCTTCATAACCCAGTTTTTCAAATTTGGGGCTGTTTTTGTAGTCCTCTTTGAACCGCTCATCGTGCCTCTAAAAAAAAGCTTGAATGGAAGTCGTAAGACAAATATTACCAAGTGGCAAATTCCCAGGTCAGCCTTGGTGTTTCGGAAGAGCTCGTTTGGGCAGAAACCAACCAGATGGCTTTTGCAAACCTAAAAGCCATTTGCCTGAACAGAAGCGAGTAACGTACATCTCGATGTTCAAACGAAATCAACTGTTCGCCGGCTAACGCATTCCTGGGAAGGGCCCATCAGCTCGTCGAGCATCTGGGCCATGTAGTCGGTCATCTTCGCCTAAAAGCAAAAGTATAGAGCTCAGAAACTAATATAACTGTGCAGCAGGGGGAAGGTGAAATCTACATCATCGGAAAGATATTTTATGGGCATCACCAGTTATCAAAATACAAATATCTGAGGGCAATCGGTGAGCAGCAGGCGGATAAAATTGCTGCTTTTCAAGTTTTTAGTTAGGGACGGACAGAAATCAAGTAGTTCGGAGGGAAAGAGATTGGATATTCAAGCGATTTCGTGGAGTGAGAGTAATCGCCTAATGGGACTACGGTCACTTTGAGCGCGGGGCACGCTATAGGAAGAGAAGGGAAAGCACGGGAATGTCCGCGAGAAGAACGGAGGCGATAAAATGAGAAAGAACGCCTGATCGAAGGCATAGAGTTCCAAAATTATTTTTTTTAATTTGCAAAAAATCAATTGAACTAATTTAAAACACTCGGACGCTCGTCGGGGTCAGTAAATTGAATTATGGAACGATTGTATAACTCACTCCGAAAAAAAAGAATCTTATCAGTAGGTAGCGGCCCGCATAGTTAGCGGCAAAGTCCTTGGAAATTGATTGGGCTCCGAGGGGTTATTTATCAGGGGCTGAAACGAGGCAGAAGAGTATTCCGAGTCTGTTCCCGCAGATGTTGTGCCTGTTACTTGGATTTCTTTGCGCGATTATTGTCATCTGGGCCCTTGGCTCGCCAGATCCACAACCACTAAATCTCGTCTATTCTCTACCAGGAAAATGGTTAGTGCAAACTGAAATGTTCTCATTTGCAAATTTTATTTGCAAAGAGCAGATTTAAAATCGTTGAAAGGAACGTTGAATGCCCGGCCTTCAGGTACTGGCTGAAATTCCGTTTGATGCGCTTTGTGATTGGACGTCGACAGAAAAAGACCCAGCAAGAAGCAAAGGTTTTTTGCTTCAAAGCGCTCTGAAACGTTAACTTAAAGAAAGACGATTTATTGAAGTCGCAGTTTGGTGGTACCGGCAAGCGAGATCCAACTGAAATGGAGAGCAAGCACGAATTTCCGGAAGACAAGGTCGATCAGCTCATTTAAACTAACAACAATAATTAGTTGTGTCGCCGGGAATATAAGAATTATATGAATATCTCTTATCAAACAACTTTAGGAATGGGCAGCGGATGCCGTGTTTTTTGATGCCTCAAATAAAGATGGCTGGTATTTGACACTCGGAACGGCACAGAGACCAAACAATGTCATCAATCTTTTCTTTATCCTTCGAATTCCAAATGTTGGAACATTCTCTAATGAAGAACTCTTGACCGACACCAATGTTACGGTATCTAATAATAGCCGCTCTGCTATGTATCTTTAGAGCGTCGATTTGAAAGATGAATGGAAGACCGAGAGCGGATTTTCGGTGAAATGCGTGGAGCCGATGAAGCGGTGGCGGCTGACATTTAAGGGAAAGCTTGTCCGAGCCCCAGGACTTCATTACTTCGAGAAAGCCGGACCTGAAATGGTTAATACTCCAGAGACTATTGAAGCGGAATATTCTTTTGGAATGGACGAATTTCGGTAGGTTGTGCGATATTTCTAAAGCTTCAAATTGAAAACGTGAAATCATATATTATTTATATTGACAGGCGACCAGTTTGACTTTGATACGGAAGTGTCTCCAACGTCTATCGCACACTCACTGGCCATCGAACCGTGGAGTCGTGAATTGTTCAAACGTCTTCAAGAAAGCCATCAAACCCATTATGAACAGGTTTCATAACTGATTACGCTAGGGTAATCATCCGCCCTCTAGTTCGGTTTCCTGGAGGGATATATTAAACTCGATGACAAGGAGTACACCGGAATCCGAATGACGTCGATGCGTGACCATACGATCACTGGCTATCGTAGATGGACAGATATCAGGAGGTGATCATATATTACTGTAGATGACTGGATTTTAGATATATCATGATGATCTACCATCTGGCTGATGGAACCTGTATCCACACTTCATTGATTTCAATGCCTGAGACTGTATTTTCGCATTTGGAATTTGGATATGTGATCACCCCGTGAGTTTTACGATTTCCTTGAAAAAATCTCGAGATTTAGCGATAAAAAGAAACTTCCCGTTGATCGTATTCATCTCCATCTAGCACATATCGGAGAAGGAAAACGTTTCCCGGAGCGTTTTGAATATACATTTGAGGCCGGGAAGAAGACATACGATGTCAAGGTCATTTTTGTACTTTTCGGAAATATCGTGTTTTTCTTTACGAGCGTGAAGTTTAGGTAAAATTGGTCGACAGCTGTTCCTTTAAAATGGGTCGCGAGCAGAGATGTCAGGTAATTTTTAGTGTTGATTTTGAAGAAGATCAACGAAACGAAATTATTTTAGGTCAACGAAAACATGGCTGAATTCGAAGTGAATGGTACGCGCGGTTATGGGTTTGTCGAGGCTGAATATAGGATTGAGCCATATTAGGCGTTTTTTGCGTAAATTATTTTGTATTTTCGATAAATCTCTGGTATTACGGTAGGACACGCAAAGCAGCCTCTGTACTATTTAATGCATGTTTAATTCAATTTCCTATTCCTAAAGCAATTAACAAAAACTGAAGTTTAACATCGAAATCAGTTGATTTTCATTTGCCGAAAGCGATATGCAAATGATATGCAAATGCAAATGACAAATGCAAATGCGAAGGACCACTCACAGACACGATTTTTAAATAGATCGTAGGAAAAAGCTTATTTTTTTAAACGGCTTATTTCCCCCTTTCACCTTCCACAAGAGTATATTTGTCCCTTGAGCTCAACCCACACCGTAAAGGGGCAAAATTGGTTTGTCCTCCCCCGCGAGGCTGTGGTGTCCCATGCTGTTTACTCAAGCCTAGAGGGGCAACAGAAGCAGTCAGCAGGGATCGAACCATAGCTCCCGTATTCCCTCCCCCCCATGTCCATAGTTATTTCGGCTGGCTTCGAGGCTTCTGGAAGCGAGGCATAGATAGTGAAGAAGGGGAGAATGGTGGTGTTGGTTGTTGAGGTGCTTTTGTGCAGTGTGGCGTCTTGGTCGGCTTCGATTCAATGGCAAACACAGCGATCCCGGGGGGACTGTCCCTTCCTCGTCCACGAGACCGGCAGGAAGAGTGGCCTGTCTTGCTGGGCGCCAACGTCTTCGCATCAACAACACCCAGTTTCTGCCAGTTTCGCATCGAAAACAACGCACGACGGATGATTTTGTGTTTCCACCTTGATTAAATCAGTTCATTATCTCCTTGAAACTTATTCGAGCCTTTTTGGAGCCTGCCAATTTCTGGGATCTATGATACTAGGTAATTAGCCTGCCGAATTCGCATAAAAATCACTAAAATGCAAAATTCAAAATTCTTCGTTTTCTATATAGTACCGACCCGCAATTGTCATTGTATGCTATCCTATCCTATAAGCGAGAAAAGTATGTTTGTTTTCTGTGCAGCCGATTGCTCGGCCGTCAGGCCGAATTTCGCGCTGATTTTTGGCATGGAGGTGGAGAAACACATCCTCTTTATAAGCATTTTTTGGTTTTTCGAAATTCCTTCATTTAACGATTTTACAAGCGAAATAGTGAAAAACCCTTAACATTTTGGTCAAAAAAAGGTTTGTACAGAGGATATCTCGCGATCCAAATGGAATTGGGCGCTAATTTTTGGAGGGTAGATTGAGATTTGAATTCTCCCGATATATAATTCTGCGTTTTGTCAGATTTTGTAAAATGAAGTTTTTATGAACATTTTTATAAAAAGTCCTTAATAAAGTGGGCCAAGAGCCGTGGTGTCCGGGCCATATCTCAGAGCCCAGATGGAATTTCGGTCTGTAATTTGGAACACTTATGTATCCGATAGTGGGGATCACGCACATCTTATTATCTTTGTAAATTTTCAGCTGATTCGTACTCGAAAACCGAATTTTGTAAAGTGACCAGTAGGCCTCCCTCCGGGGATCATTGGTTGCCCTTTTCTTTGCCTTCCCTTCCCCCTTTCCCCAGGACAGATGAGAGCTTTCCCGCCGCCTGTTCGTATCGGTTGGATGGTGTAGTGGCTTTGCGCCCGGCCTATCATGCGCATGGTCGTGAGTTCGGATCCTGGGGAAATTTAATTTTTGCTTTTTGGTAGTTCAGTAACAAAACATATTTCTAGGCTCTGGGCGCGCGAGATTTAGGCCTGGCTCTGGCTCTAGCGCCGCAGGCCAAAGAAAAGGTCCTTGGTCCAGGCTCTTGCGCCGCAGGCAAAGGATGGGTTTTTGAGCTAGGCTCTTGCGCCGCAGGCCAAATCTGGGAGAAAAACCAGTAACTAGCACTGCAGGTAAAAAGATTCTAGCGCGTTTAGGCCTGGATCTCGCTTTAGCGCCGCAGGCAAAGAAAAGGTGCTTGGCCTAGGCCCTCGCGCCGCAGGAAATCCTCGAGAAAACCAGTAACTAGCGCTGCAGGCAAAGATTCTAGCGCGAGGTTTAGGCCTGGCTCTCGCTTTAGCGCCGCAGGCCAACGAAAAGGTCCTTGGACCAGGCTCTGGCGCCGCGGCAAGAATGGCTCCTTGACTCACATTCTTGCGCTGCAGGCTAAAAAAAGAAGGTATTCGAATTCATCGTTCCTGGACGGGGTCCAGTGGAAAAGGGCCGCGAAGCGGCCTTTTTCTACTGGTATATCATAAGCTAAGGTTGGCTGATTTTCCAAAAAAACCAACTTTAAAAATAGCAGATTTTGTGGAATCAGATCCGGGCAGTCGTCCCTAGGCATTACCCATCTTATGATACATAACGTCGAGTTTTAAATCCCTTCCGTTTCGAGAGATCCGGGGTCGCTGCCGGAATTTGCATGCAAATTAATACACAAAGCACTATTTTATATACAGCGGCGTCGGTGCCGTTTAATAATTGTCACCTCCCTCCTGGAGGAGAACTGAGCTTTCGAATTCTACGATATTCCTGCTCGTAACTTTTTGTTCCCAACCCCAATGACTTATTCACTTGGCACATCTCCAACCTATGACCAATCCGTAAGCCATTTCAATCCGAAACGCTACAACCGTGTTATCAGGCCTATTTTGCCGGGCCCTGTCCACAGTTTCGATGAGTCATCTAGGTGGAGGATCCCTGGGGGAGGGAAAAGCCAACCCCGGAGACTGAGAGGAAGGGAAAAGCGGCTGGCTCATACCTGGACGAAGCGAAGGGGGTGTGGGCTGGGATGTGTGTTTGCTGAGGATTACGGGGCTGAAGGCCACAGCAAAAGGAAAGGGTTGGAAATTGAAGGGGGAGGGCCCATGGTGCATGCACGTTGCGCCACCATCCAACAGCAAACATTGGTGGTGTGTGTACCCTGTGGGTAGGATGGGAAAAGCGAGAGAAAGAGGGAGAGAGAGAAGAAAGGAGAGCGAGAGGACCCACCACTGGTCGAAACCCGAGAGCCTGCACCAACCGGCCAGCCACCAGCCCCCTTTCTATATTCAGGTGAGGGCTCCACTTCATACAGGGTGGCCTTCGATGTCCACCTGGGTGGCCTGTCGCCTGGGGGCATGTATGTAAATAATTGCTTCGTTTTGATAGCCAGGAAACTTTCTGAACGTAAGTTCGTGGTCGTTACTTTTTCTGTACTGTATTCAGCCAGCTTTTCAATTGTTGCTTAAAATTAAAAAGCGTACCCGGTTCGAATTTATCGAAACTTATATTTTCAAGCCGTATTACGAAGTCTGTAGCCTCTCAAGCCGCAACTGATTTGGAATTTGTGTAAAAAGTAAACCCTACGTAATTTTTGAAATCCATAAAACTTTCTAGTGTTTTTTTTGTGCTAGTCCTCGTTTGCCTACTGTATTACAATACCGATTGGTATATTTATATAAGTTATTAATCATCTTGTAACGTTAAATGTCTTAAAGGGATGCCGACGGCATAGACAATCGGTTACGCGCGGAAAAGAAAATGTCTCTGCGCCTCTCCCCTGGGCGCGCTCTCTCCCCTGTTGGCTACTTGCAAATTTGTTGATGAGGGGGGATCGACACATGCCGTCGGCAGCCCTTTAAAGGGTCATATCTAAAGCCCTGTGGCAGTAAGTCTCGACACCAGCCAGACTACAGTAATCCCGTCCTGTTGAACTTTTACCGGGCCTTCCCTTCTCGATCCAATTTTTTTTTCTCAATAGTTTGATCTTTAAAGCTCAACTAGCTTGGAAAAACAATTATCTGATGAGCTATTCCAAAGAGTAGGCCTGAGTTTTTTTTTGACATGCCGCATCGATTAACCCCTGGCACACACGGAAGTTATCAATTCGCCTTTTTCGCGATTTTTGCCATCTCGATGGTTCGGAACTTTGTGAGTGGCAGAAAGGCAGCAGCGAGATCGATCCCATGGGGGGCTTGGGCTGACTCGCCATGTTTGGCCAGTGCCGACAAATACTGATAACACCCTATCGGTGCCTTGGTTCTCTAGGAGAAGCTTCTATGGCGAGGAAAGGGGGTGTGGAGGGAAGAAGCCCGCACCAATCCAGCCTGTCTATTGTTTGTTGGCGCCCGGCCAAGCCTTTTTTCTATAACACTTCTTTGAGAAACTTGCCTTAAGTTCAGAACGTTTGATTTTGTAATACACTAACAAATATTTGGGGCGTTATTTTGCTATAAAATTTTTTTATGTTTATGAACCTAATTGCCGGTCGGTGGCGATTATCCTAAGATTCGCATATCCAATTTCCTACAATTTGAGAAAGTGAATACGTTAATTACTGACACCGACTTTTGGGTTCTATGTTCTTCGAATAATTTAATTATTATTATGCGGGTAACCGTAACCTGGTAGCGATTATTCAAAGCCAGCGTTTCATACTCATCACCAGCCCCTTATCCCAACTTTACTAGTGACACGAAATCGATGATTCATATTGAATTCCTGACGGCGTGACTCGCTCCGCCGTTTCCGCTATCCCTTGAATCATCGCCGTTTTCCCGCGCCATCTTATAGATTTTTCACACACATTCAGCTGTACGCGGCGCTCCTCCTCCTATCGCTAGCTGTTTTCCGATTTCGTTGAATTTCAATGCAACGGTTTCGGTTTTTGGTGTTTTGCCACGAGGTTTTTCTTTTCTTCTTTACGCCTTTTTGTACTTCTTTCCGTTCGAGATTTATATTTTTTGATCTCTGAAATACAGATTAATTACCTCAAAATATTTAATTACGCCTTTATAGCAGTGTGCTGGATGAGGCTGGAGTCTAACAGTCTCTGGTACCTGCTGGAAACTACGTGAATTTGAGGAGAAGAACTCGGCCAAGTAGAGCCCCCATCCTCGACAGGGCCCTAATTGGGCCCAGTCCACCATCCAGCCAAGATGCCGTGCAATCCGTGTTGTTGTATGAAGCCGAAGGATGGGGCTGTTGTGTGCGGTATCTGGAGTGTGGTAAGTCGATTTGATTGGTGTGTTTTGTATTCCATACGAGGCTTGCTCGGCCTTCATTCTGGGCTTGTTTTGTATTATGCTTTCGAGAACGCGCATGAATTTTGAGAATATAAAAAATTAAAATAATTTTTATTGGAAGCTTTTTGCTATAAAAATTTTTGAATTAGTTTTTAAAGGGATTGTGATGGCAAGGTAATTTTCCAATGGTGTATAGAAATGTGTTACCCTTTGCACACGACATTTTTGGTTTTAATAAATTTAGCAATTATTTTAAACCTACTTTACTTTGAACCTAACTTTCAATCTTAAAAACAAATATACGCTTGAGGAATCAAGACAACTTTCCCATGAAAAATGTAAATTTCATTGCCTTCAAAATCTTTCAAAAAAACGTTTCAGCAAAAAATTTCTGCTTTTTAATAAATTTAGCAATAGTTTCTTCTCGATTACAAAACCCTAAAAACAGATCTACGCCCTGGCATCAATAGCCGTAATGGCTTGGCAGACACAAGTTCTCAACAATTGCCGTTCGGTGACGATGTCCCAATCGAATCTGCAGTGTGAATACTACTGCCCATGCGTCGGAGCCTCTACCGCCAGAACATCTCGTATCGTAGAGGGTGCGCAAAAGCATTTTTTCAAATTTCACCCACCGACCCGGCCATACTGACATTTTGGATGCTTCTTTCTCAGCCCTAAACTTTTATCAACACAAAATTTGTCTATTTTTGAAGGCCCGAGCAAGCCATATGGGGTAGAAGGATTTTGTGTCTATGCGCATGTGTGTAGTGCTCTCAGCCCCCCAGCCGCCTTTAGGTGTTCGGTGTTGCGCAACTTGGGCTGATGGGCTGGCAGCTAGCTGCCATCAAATACGAGAAGGACCGCGCGGCCAACACATTGCTACCAAATTATAACACTTATGGCCGATACGACATCCCGACATATTATGAGAGCTATTGGCAAACACCGGAGGAAAGATATTATATAGGTGAGGGGTTGGGATAGAGGGTAATTGAAATGTTGGACCTGGCCGGGTCGGAGTAAATATTATAAATATTATATTATGATTTCCCAAATGCACGTTTATTTATGATGTTTTGCTATATTAGCACGAAATTTGCAAAAGTAATTTAACTTCCTGTCCTTTAAAGTTCTGAACTTCAGAGAAATTTGACTACTAAATAATTTGCTTTTAGGCCTGTTCATCATCCAAATCCTCTGCCTAATATCTGCATTTTTCCTTCTATTTGCCGGTGTCGCCTTAATATACGGAATCCATACAGTAAGTCTTTGTTCAATTTCTACATTTTGTTAATTATTAGTGGTCGCGATATCTGATCTGGCCATGGTTCGTCTGTATGCTATCATCGATCCTCAGCTCATTGGCCTACTGTATTATGTGGTAATCTTTCGGAAGCTTGGCCTTGAAAAAATCATTTAAGGTGGGCTGGTGACGTACGCGACTATTGGCTTGCGCTGACAATTATCGAATTTATTGGCGTTTTGATTAATGTAAGTATTAAATGCTCGCACTGTTAATGCACAAATTTCTCTAGATTCTTGCTACGGTAGTTGTTTCAACATTTTACACCCGAATCAAAGCCGAATGGGACTATTATGAGAAAAAGAGTGAGGCGCCGAACTGATAATTAATACCAAAAATTTAGGCCGATACCGTCCTGGCAGTCGTGCGGGCCATTCGAGCCGTAAGGATTTGTTGGAGCATCGATGGGGTAGGCGCACCTTAAATTATTCTTTATTATTATTGTTTATTTTAGAATACCCAGAACCAGATCGGATGGTTGTCCGCCCATTTCCCAGCCAAGCTAATCGTAAGGAACCCCTCAAAAATTTTTAATTTACTTTAGAAAACGCTCCATATCTGCCATCCTACCCCTCACCATTTCCGCCTCAACCAAATTTCAAGCAAACTGGTCCACCACCGCCTCCACTTCCTAAGAAAGTGCCACCATATCCGGAAGATCCAAATCTGGTAGGCAACCTTTCCCCAATTTAGATAAAAATTTAAATTAACTGAAGAACGACACCTAATTAATTCTTGTTATTACAGATTGTTCCCACCCGCTACGATCGCGAACCAGGTTCTCGTATTGGAGGCGGAGCAGTCCCGCACCTCTATAAATCAGATGATGACGATGATCTGGTGTCCAGCTGGGTGAAAGATCAACAAAGAAGAAGTAATATCATAGCTACCAGACTGTATACAAATTTTAGGTCAACACGGAAGCAAAGCCGACTCGGAACCACCATATCTTGGAGGCCATAATTACCCGCTGAAGGTATGCATCGCTTTCAAAATTTAGCCACTTGGTTTTTTAGCCCTCACGCTCTATGCCATCATTGTTTGAGGATTCGGCTAGTTGCCATCGTGCTCCACGACATCGGTAAGTTCTTCACTTTAAAACAGAAGAAATTGTGTTAGGAGTTCTTCTCGTTACCGATCATCCCATAGAGATCGGGATAGGGATCGCGAACGGGATCGTGACCGTGATCGTGACCGTGACCGTCACCGTGGTGATCGAGACAAAAGGCATCGATCAAGCAGGTAATTCTGGAGAAGCTGAACGTTATTTCCTCCATACTGCCTTCAAACAACAGTATAATCTCAGAGATCATCGCGATCATTCTCGCCGTTCCTACCGTCGTGGTAGAAATCGTTCGGTTGGTTACGGAAGTGACAGCGAAGAAACAGCAACTGGTACTTTATAATCCTACTAATTTCCATTCCATACAGATTACACCCGATGTCGGCATAGCGAACGAAAACGGCATCGCAGCAGTAGTAGGCATCGGTATGATGAGAGCGAGACCGAGTTGAGTGCCGCTCCCCTAAAGGATCGAAAGGGCCGAAGGAGTGGGGAACAGGAGAGGTAAGAGCATACAATAGAAAATCTTACGCGATTAAATTTAGGTCTAACGGCCAGGTGTCGTTGCCGCTGTCGGGTGGGTTGACCATTCCGCAGCACATTGTCATACCGCCACAACACCAAATGGAACGGAACCCGGATGGGACCATTCAGCCTCAAAAGTTCAACATCAATTCGGAGATTGTCATCAAATATGACAAGGTATGAAACGGTAGCTTCACTAGAGATGTTACATAGTCAAGTAACAATTCTTGGGTTAGAATTTGCATCTAACAGCGCAAATTTAGTTGATTTATTTGGGGGCCTTTACCTTATTCGTCATCTTTAACTGGGTCAGAGAGAGAGAGAGAGAGAGAGAGAGAGAGAGATAGCGAAAGAGAGAGCGAGAGAACGAGAGAGAGAGAGAGAGAGAGAAAGTGAGAGAAACCGCATACAGCCCTTTGTATTTCTTAAATCTAGGATGGAAGTGACGTCCACTTCTCTTCTGCCCGCGAGCCATACCATCAAACAACCCGTTCAAACATATCCCATTTGAGTGAACCAAGAAGACTACAGGTAAATACTATCCACCATAAAAATCATAATAATTATTATTTCAGCCGGTCTCAATGCAATCCAATGTCTAAACACCCGCCAAAGACTTCCATCATTTTTCGTAGCAAACCTTGAAATCGCCGAGTATTCTAGTCATACTGTAGATAAATAATTATTGCGTTCACTGCCAAGTTGAAGTTGTCATATGCTAATCCTCCATTCAAACCATACATTTGTTTGATCTCATCCTTTAATGTATTTTAGATATTGATGTCTATTTTTCGGATTGTGCTTTTGGTATCAGAACCTGTGGTTAAATCAAACTGATGAATAAATATTTACTGGATCATGAAGATGGTATATGCAGACATTCAATAAGAGGAAAACGACATTAACACTTTCTGAGAACGAGAATGCTTTTTGAGGATGATAATTGGATGCGCCTGGGAAGAAACGAGGGCAATACCTTATCGGTAGCTATGTTCTAGGGGGGAGGGACGGTCATTACAGAAGCCATTATGGTCTGCGGTCATCTTGAGGTGTAAGGATTGTCAGGGTGAGGCTTTAGAGGCTCAAAGCCGAATTCCACAACACGTTCTCACCATAAATCCAAAGAGGAGAGGAGGAGGACGAGGGGGGGGAGGTTGAGGGAATGAACGGCACCTGGGTAGAATTGTACGCTCCGAGGTTCTGTCTAGTATACGGCCCTGATGACCGGGTATTTCTTAAAAATGACTATACTATATTCACTTGTAGAAATCGCCAAAGCTGGGCCAAAATTCCGGGCAAGCTTTTAAGCAGCTAAATCCACTTCTTTTAATTAATTTCTCTTATTCGATGTTTTTAGCCTTTAACAGGAACAAGCCGAATCAATTGCGACCGCATATTTCGTAATGATGTATCCTATATAAGAAGTGTCGCGAAAAACCGCCCGAAGCTACTCGCTAGCCACCTCAAAATGGATTGCAACAGTATATGGTACACAGAACGCCGCATAGAATTAGCATAATATTTTAGGAATCGTGTTTCACAGAACGTCACCGATTTCCCGAGAAAACATTTCCCAATAGCGTTTGCTCGAACTGTATATCGGGTAAGTCATTACATTTTTGCTAAAAATCTTTAGGACTACGACTTCCTTGAGCTACAAGTTGCGCAAAATTACCATCCACGAAACCAATACTGCTTTATGTTTGACCGAAAAGCTGATAACTCATTTGTCAGACGTATGAAGAGACTGGAACGATGCGTCGATAATGTGTATCTGGCAAAGCGTAAGGGAGGCCCGATTTTTCCAGGAAAACTTTTTTAGCAAGCGTGCCAATGGATAGTCGAGGTTATAACCAGAATCTGGGACATTTAAAGTGTTTGGAACTGTTATCAAAAAAACCTGGATGGCGTTACGCTTTATTACTTCAGGTGATTTTAAAAATATTTATTCAAAGAACCGGTTCTTCCAGAACCATGATGTGATATTACGTACGAATGCGGAATTAGGCGCCATACTACGAATGCATCTAGGCATGAACGATGTGATGCTACAGGGGATCTGGCGTCGACCATTTGACTGGCTACTTAAGAATATTCCGAATGAAAGTTCAACAACTACTACCACAACCACGACTGAAGCCACAAATTTGCACACTACAACCGGGCAGGCATCCAAGATCAATCAAATTGAAGTGAACCAAGAAACAATTCAGTGGACGGATGATACATCTTATCAATTGCCCAATGATTTCCGGGTAGATGAAGCTGGGGCTCCTTATATAGGCCCGCCAATCATCGTCTTGAATACAATCAACGAAGCAAGGAAACGTCGAAAACGATATGCGACCACACCCCAAATGCGCCAGGCAGAAAACCTAGCAGCAGGCCCGCTGCGGCGCCTCCGCGCAGCCAATCGAGAAATTATCGGCCATAGCATGGGCTTTAGACTACCAGCCAGGAAAAAGTTAAGATTTTCTCGCGGCATGGTCCAAGCAGCTCTCTCCCGTGAAGCAGTAGTATGGATGTCCCGAAAGCATAATTCGGCCGTTCGGCAGTTGGCCTCAAAGCTGAACGTCAAGGTATCCATACCGCCTGAATTTATTCTACGATTTAGGGTGTTTACGGCGTCGACGAAATCCTATTACCCACGCTGCAGGCTAGTAGCAGGGAAATTAACTTTCCAGGCGGGGTCCCTGAATGTCCTTGGGGTATGGAGCATCAATCCATGTTGAGGTGGGCGCCAAAATAAAAATGTAGAAATGTATTTCCAGATTGAAATTCTCAGCGCAAGATGGAGGTTGCCTGTCGGGTGGGATTTCTCGGCACGGTGTTTGCATTGTTGGAATAGAATATTTGCCGCAATTAAAGAAAAGTCCTTATATTGCAGGTTGGATCTATTGCGTGTCTGTAGTTTGTTGCGAGTTTAGTAAACAAAATGATGCCGTCACTGGATGCGGCCGCGATTAGTTGTATGGCGGAGCGCGTTTTTAATAGGACGCATTTTCGGGCGACCAGAACCTCGCCAGAGTTACTGCGAGCGTATGAGAAGTTGATCGCTGTGAGTTATCCCTACATTAATACGAGTGTAAATAACGGTTCTTACGTTTGTTTTTTAGGGCTTTATCTCTACTACACACTAACTCTAGCACCTAGCAGGAAACCAGGCCAAAAATTCCTCTAATTTGCCGAATTTTAGATTCGCCATGCACGAGCCCGAGCCCACGGCCGGACAAGGGTAAAATGCCATCCAAAGCGGACAGAGAGGCGAACATTCCCTGGGGGTAGCGACGAATGACGCCTATGGACAACGGATGGCCCGCGCCCGAACGCCCCCGTTCACACAGCATGTCTCTCTCCTCCATTATATACCCCCCACCAACCAATCATTCCCACTCCAATATCCCCAATCATCATCTATTCACCTTTTTATAACTTGAAATGGTTCCAAAAAACAAGCACGGTCATCCTCCTCTGAGATTTTGCGCAAAAGGGGCCTATAATTTTATAATTTTTCTTGTAGATCCTCTGGAAATTACATTTGTTTTATAGTAGATTTATAATAAGCATATTTGGAATTATCGCCTATCAAAAATGTCCATGATTTTAAATCAGATTTTAAATCCACCATTATTTGATCAATTTCATCGGGTTCATATGCTGCAATACGATTTATATTTCTAATAAACGTTATTTAATACAAACATCTAGACGCTGGAAATTCGAGAAAATGACCGAATCAATGGTGGATAAGGTGCTGCAGGCGGGAAGCGGGACTTTGCAAAGTGCCTGCGAAATTCCTGTCGGTTCCACCGTCCATTTTAAGACGGCACTCGGTGAACAGGTTTCAGGCTTGGTGAGTTTAATAATAATAATTATTATAATTGTTGATAATAATCGATAATTTTTGTTGACCGAGTTTAAAGTTTGCTTAAACCTATCAATGAAAAATATTGTTCCTGCTTCATGAAACGTAGCGCAAAAGAATTCAACATCTCGATCGGTGATTTTCAATAAATTATATACTACTAAATTATCTCATCAAAACTACCATTTTTAATTCATAATATCTCGATACAAACATAATAAAAACGACTTTAGGTGGCCTGCTTTGACCCATCGGCTAAAATGATCGCTATCAAGGATGGGTCGGGGCAAAAACCGCTGATCCGCGTCTTCAACCTGGTGCAGATCACCGAATTGAGAAGAGACTACGAGGCTGGGACTGATGAAGTGGCTGTTGAGGGGTTGGCCAGCACTTCACAGGTAAATATCTAAAATTAATATGTTAATTATCCGCTCGATTCTCAGAATCACCAAGCATTGATCGAGCGTATGAAAAGTCAGGAGGTGATGCAGGTGCCGGTTGATGAACATGGACAGAAGGTTGGTTTTAAAAAGACTTGTTTAAAAATATGTTTATATTTATAAAGTAGATATGATTTATGCAGCGTTTGTTGATATGGATTTTCTATTATCGAAGATTTGGTATGATATTCACATTTTTTTTCAGGTCTTCCTAAACCTTCGCCACGTTTTCCAAGAAAATGTCACATGGAATGGGGCAAACATCGAAGCACTGGACCTCGTGCTTGTCCAACCTCCATACGGCCCGGCCAATGCCGTTTTGAAAAAGGTCCGACTATACTTTTTATACCTACAAACACATGCAATTTCTATTAACCCCTTGAATCCAAAATCTTCAGAACGAAGAACGTGGCGAGGCAGCGCTTGAGCAGGTTCGAAAAGTGCTGGCAAAGCCGTTCGTATTAACCGAACACGCTGCTCTGAATGCTACCTGCATATTTGACGGGCAAACCGATGGCGCTGAAGAATGATACAGCGACGCATAGGCACCACATTAATAAATTATCCAATTGATGGAAACGGAATTCACATAACACACAGATACAACATTTTCACAGGCGCATTTTTATCGTTTTTCAGAAAAATCCAGCACTTTCCAAGACGCCTCAAAAAACATAAGGGCAAATGGCTGTATGAGATGACCTCTCGGCCTGTTGCCCAATCAATATGATACCAGGATCGTGCCGCGGGGCACAAGAGCTCTGTAAATCATGTTGCCGATTATTTTTCTCTGCTATTTCGGCTGGCTAGGCTTTGTTTGGGGGCGCAGCGAGTGTATGCTCGTGCAAGGTAGAATTCACGAAATTTTCCACAACCTATATTGAATCCATTGACTAAATTCTTCAAATTTTGTCTCTAGGACGGGTCTCATGCCCTTACCACCCTGAACTCATCTCATACTTGACTGTTGAGCTGCATGATCTAGATCGTAAGTTCTATACTAAAAATAATATATATTTTACTAATTCTAGCGCTCCCTTGGGAAATTGACGATTTAATGGGAAGAAGCCATACCTTTGAAAACGGAACATTCCAAGGTAATTTCGACAAATTTTTACCCTACCCAATTTAGTTAGTGGGTGCGGGTCCGACCTAGGACCGTCAAATACCCCGGATCCTTACTTGAAGATTACCCACTTTTGCCCAGCTAAAAATACGAAAGGTACACTTACCAATGTGTCTAAATATCTTTATGCAATTTTCTTAGGTATTCCATTAAAAGCCCGTCACTTGAAAGTTGACGTCATCCCCGTCTTCCTCCCAAATATCTTGAAACTGGGCCGTATTCGACTGGACGACGATGGATATTAATATTGTATTTTATTGTATAGTATTTATCAATAACATTCGTTAAAATAGCGATAGATTCTCTGTCAAAACATCATCTAGCGAATAAATAACAAGTTGCCATAATACCCGCATGCAAAAGCGTTGTTTTTGGGAACGATAGAGGGGGTTGACAAGAACTGCAGGAAAACAGCGGGGCACCACAAATTTTTGGGATCATGGAAAGGAGGAGGAGCAAGGAAGTGATCATAAGTAGTCATGGAATAGGCAAAATAAAACCGGGGGAAAATGGCAGGAAACTGTTTTATTGATGCCCGAATCAATGTTAATTTGTTAAGGCAGTAGTAGAGTTGGCCTAGAAAGCAGTTTTCTCAACCCTGGCAAGAATTTTTCGAAGCAGAAGAAAAGCGTTAAAAGTTATAGGAAATCCCAGAATTTGCGGTATGGACTAGGCCGTCGTGGAAAGAATCAATGGGGAATGATGAGATGGCAAAACGGGGGTGATTTGGCTTGTGACTAGGATGAAAAGGGAACGAATCGTGGGGCTCAAACGCGAGCTGGGAAGTCCTGGATATAGATGTGCTCGCCTCGATCACTTGGAGATTGGGGTGGCCTTTCGGATAAGGTTGTTGTTTCCTAAAACATTAATCAAGCGTTAGAAGTGAAGCAAGTGAATTTTCAAAGGTAACCTACGCCCTTATTTCTTGGCTGGTTTTTCTGGAAAGGGATTTATGAAGTGAGGATTGGCAAGTGGGGCTTACCATATCCTCGGGCTGTTCTCTCCACTGTCGATAGGACTCGAGCCTTGCCCATTCTGCCTGGAGTTGATCTTCTACTTGTTCAAGAAGTGGTGATGAGCATAGACGTAGATGCTCTTTTAGCAAATGCACGCAATCCTAGAAAAATACTAATTATTTAAATAGTTCAAGCCAGAGAAAACGGCCATTACAACCGAAGTTGATAGAAGAAAATTCTTTTTAAACAAAACTTACCGTAAATAGCGGGCGTTTACTTGGATCAATCATCCAACACTGTTGCATAAGGTTGAAACTGGAAAAAAAAATAGGTATTTTCGGTCGAGAACGATAGTAAATTTTAGAAAAACTTAAACCAACTCACATATCATCATGTGCAAACTCGGGCTGACTGTTACGTGTACCGTTCAGCACCCTTGGTAGCGTCTCCTCGTTGCTCAAATCCGGATACGGTGTGCCGCCCAAAGTAAAGATTTCGTAGAGAAGAATTCCAAACGACCAGACGTCTGACTAAATTTGAAATTATAAATTTTCCTTGATGAACCGGATTTACCGCTTGTGTGTAGTAGCCATGTGTAATAGCTTCAGGACTCGTCCAACGAACGGGAACTTTGTTTTCTGTGCTTCGAGTTTTGCTAAAAAATAAGTTTTTGCACTTTAGATTATTCAAAAGGTCTAAAAAGTCGTAGATTTTTTAAGCATTCCACTAACCGATAATATTCCTTCTCCGTGTTTTTCGCCATTCCAAAGTCGGCAATCCTGCAGACTTTATCTTTTGTAAGGAGTACATTTCTAGCCGCTAGATCACGATGCACACACTAAATTTGAATGAAGTCTTTTGACAACTTTTTCACAACAAACCGGCACACTGCTGAGATATTCCATTCCATTAGCGATTTGCATCGAAAATGACAGCAACTCCGCTGTGGAAGACGGAGGAATCCTCTATATATTTAGAAATATACTATGTCTCTCTTTATTCCATACCTCATGCTCGAGCAAAGCTTCTTGCTCACCAGCAGCCCCATGTGCGTGCCCGTTTTCTTCGTTGAGCTCGCTCTAAACAAAAGGTAAACAAAATCACAGAGAATTTTTTTACCAGATAAACCTTCTTTGGCGCGCTGTTAGGTTGAAGGTAGCTACTTGCAGGTGCCTGAGATTTAAATCACTACCCAGAATAAAACTCGACCTACCGGTCTCAAGTCATTCTTAAAATTCTGCGATGTTTTTCCAAGATTTCGAAGGTAGTCACGAAGGCTGCCTTTGTCACAGATCTCGACAACCAAAAAGAGGCGGCCGCTAAAATGGTATTCTATACCGCTTCTTAGGATTAACTTACTGAACCATCTGTTTTGTGATGGCACCAATGATGGCAAGCACATTTGGATGCGGTGCAATCGCGCCCATCACCTTCAATTCGTCTGACAGCATTTTTTGTTGTTTCACGTCGTTGCCATTTCTTGGCATCTGAAAGGAGAGGATTTATCAAAATATCATCTTGTCATCTTTTTGTTACGAATTCACAAACCTTAACGGCAACGGGTAATCGTGCTCTTTCAGCCGCTGAATCAGAGACCCGCGCAGGCTTCTTCAACCATCCCATCACAACGCGTCCGAATTCACCGCTGCCAAGCTAAAAACCAGAATATACAAATCCGATCGTGGTTTCTTACATGCTGGCCGAGTTGCAGATTCTCCTGGTTCAACTCAAGGCGGCGTTCATATGGAAGATCGGCAACTCGTTGATCGATGGGTACTTTTTGATCCACAATTTCGTGTGAAGGAACGCCACCGCGCATCAATTCGTCGTAGAGAATACGAAGGGCTCTGAAAAAAGCAACAGTTTCTATCGAAGCTCTCCGCTCAGCCTACCCTTCTTGCTCATTTGCTCTCTTTCGTTGTTGTCTCCATTTGTATAATGCCAAACACGAGCACAACGAAATACAAATAAGAGCTGCCAAGAGCAAGATGATCCAGAAACGAGCATGACGGTTTGGGGCACCATCCACCTATTTAAAAATTTAAAAAATGGATTCTGGCCTACTTCAACATTATATTTGGCTTCATAGCTTCCGGCACGGTTCTCGGCAACACATGTGTAAATTCCGGCATCATCCTCAACAACACGGTTGATGGTCAATGTTGAGCCATCGGCACTTATATGTCTAGCTTCCACGGGTTCACCGTTCTTTTTCCTAAAAATTAAATAAAATTTACGATTGATAAGTTGATTAGCAAATGCTTGTAATATACCTACCACTCAATTTCGGGTGTCGGTTGGCCAGACATCTTACACTCCAGCGTCCCATTTTTGTGGTAAGGAAAAGAGAAATTTTCCCCTTGCTTCTCGCTGGGAGTGGGTGCACGAACGCGTTGTACCTATAGAAAGCCCATCACTCTACGACCCGATAATTTTCATACCGTAATCGTTTCATTCCCGACAACCGTGACGCGACCGCGACGTATAAAGAGACACTGGTAACGACCATTATTTGAAGGGCTGATGTTCTGAAATTCTTCCGATATTATATCCTTTTTAGGCAAGCGTACCGTCAATTCGATGGTCTTGATCATCGTCGGGCCAGACTCGCTGACCTCCCCCTCAAGCTCAGTGTCCTCATGCTTCCATTTAATTTCGCTAAACACATGAGATTAAATAAAATATCTAGCATTTATTACAGTCCATCTTGCCACAGCGTCTCACAGCTCAAAGTTACGTTATCTCCGGCGTATAACAGCTCCTAGAAAACGTTTACAAACTAGCGATAAAATTTCCGATACCTTATGTTCGCCAGCCTTACTCGACGCAGCCTTCGTAACATTTGACCACGTTCTAAATCCGTGGTTTGCCACTGAAATCGGCTGCTCATCGGAGACATCCTGAATTCCGGAGTCAAGGAGGTGCTACGAAAATACCTTATCACCGCGGCGTACCATACATCTGACTAGCATATCTTTGCTGACATACGGCCGCCAAGATACACCAGCTTCAAAGGTTCCGTAAATTGTTTCTAATTCCGCTTCCGGAACATCGGTGAAACGGCCACCACCCCGACGGGATTCCCTATTATCACTACTTTGAAGCTGCAAATTGGGGATTCTTACCTGCTCTGAAGTTTGGGGAGCACTAGAGGTACTCCAGATGACACACACTGCATTCGAATTTGGGTATTATTCTAGAATAGTTTAGTTTAGTTCAATAACACCAAATCTGGAATGCCTCATAGAATTTCTGCTCGGATTGGATGAGATATTCTGTAGAGAGCACTTGGAAGGCGACGCGTGGTGTTTTTGTATTCACGGTTACATTCCAGCTGGTCTTCTTGAGAAGCCCTTTTACTTGCACCGAGAGTTCATAACTAAAAGAAAATAATAGCGTATTAAAGGAAAACCTACATTCCAGAATCGTTCGTATTTGCATTTATTATTTTTAGTTCTTCAATTTTTTCACCGGGTCGATTCGCTGGTTGTCGGCTTTCGATCTGAATTTAATGGAATTTGTATTGATATGGGTACTGCTCACCTTCTTTCCTTCATCATGGGTAATTGGATCACTGTGGTTGTTGGATACGGTCACATATTCCTAAAAACGTACTTGGCGTTTCTTGGGATAGACTTACCCGCTTCCAACTTGAGCTGTAGTTCGGAAGATCGAATGGGTAGGCCTTGATCGCAGCAACCAAATCAATAGATTGACCCTCATTCAAGATCAATTCTTCGTGATGCGGCATGAACTAGAAATTTTTAAGATATTAAAAAGGAAGAAGATATGATACCCTAATTTGCGCCTCTTCCTTCGATACAGCCAGTTTCACCATCTTCGTTTTCTTGGTTTGATATTCTTTTGAAGCTTCTTCTTCAGACCTAGAAACAGATTTAGCATTTTTTTCGAGGCTACGCTATACATTTTTCAATGGAAATTTTTTATATAAATGATATTTTTGCTATTTCCCTTACCATATACACGAATATTCCCCAGCATCTTCTTGCGTGACCGAAAAAATGTTGAGCACCAAGGAAAATGCCCCAGCATGCTGTCGGTTGTTATATATAGCCACCGCATTCTAAAAATCACAATTTTATCTAGCTAACAATTAATACCGTATTATTACAGCGCGGGCAAAGAAATTCCAGCTTATGCTTGTACATTCTGGCTTCTCCTCGAATGACGGCTAGGGTACAGTTGATGGTATAATTGACAGCGCCTAAACTCCAGGTTGCGCATTGTTTCGTAGTGCTTACCAGCATATGCCCAATCGTCTCGAGCTACTAGAGTGAAATTGAATTCTTGGCTCGCGTTGTTTTTCTAAGAATATGGTTGTAAAACTTTACACCCTTGAATTACCGCAACGGTAAAGGAGATGGTAGAGTCTTTGTATTGACATCTGGCTTTTCCAGAGCCGGATGTTAATTCGGAGGGTGGGAACTTGTCCAGAGTAAAACCGGTCCTAAATTTATGTATTTTATGAGTTATGATGAGGTATACTTTTTATAGTGAAACATAAATATAGAACAGAAACTAACCTTGGGTCATATTCAGCATTATGAGGAATGTCGAGCGAACCAAGAAACAGTTTGACCTCTCCGGCTGTCTGTGGGAATTCCGTGGTACGACAAGGAATTATCATCCGCTGTGTTGACGCGGCTAATTGATCGGAGGCTGGTTTTAACATCACGACAGGGCCTGAAATTAAAAAAATTATTTGCTGGTATCTAAAAATGTACCAGTAACGAAGACATAAATCGAGTCCACGGCTTCCTTATTATTTTCGTTTTGGCATGTATATAGACCGGTGTCTGATTGTGACATATCTGCGATTGTGAGCGTAGAAATCTGAATATGAAATTTTTAGAAAATAAGTTAAAATGCGCTACCCATTGCTCCTCGTTTGGCAAGATCGAGACCCTTTGGTTTAATTCTCTGAGATCGAAACCGAGGACGTCTTCGTTTTTCGGGAATAGCCATCTAAAAATTAGATTAAAAATAAACGCTGCATATAGGCAATTGAAAACAGTATCTAATAAAAGTGAATAAAAATTTACTTTATATTCCCTCCGCCGGAGAGGTGACATTGTATCGTCAACTTTTTTCCAGCTTCGACTTGCACGTAGCTAAAGGGAAGTTTTTGTTATGTACAAAAAATATAAAAGTAAATAGCAAGACTTTTCCAAAGTACAAGATTGGTTAAATCTACTTACCTATAATCCTCAGCATTTTTAATTTCCGGCTCAACATGTGTAATTTCAACTCGTTCAGCGCGGGCACCCAAAAGCAATGCCGCAGCCGCGAATAAAAACGGAAACCAACGGATCATCTGAGGGATAGCCGCATAGACCTGGAAAATGGACGTAAATTGCGTGGGTATAAACGGAGCCACTCGGAACTCGAAATATTCAGGTGAAATGGGCTGAGTCAGCTTTCTGGAGCCTCCGCTTTCACCCCCGCGATGGCATCCCTTATATTGATTCATCGAGGGGTCGGGCGCGGTTTGAAGGACAAACAAACAAAAATATATATTTTAAAATGGAACAATAGAGGTTGATTTTAGAATTTAAAAATGTCGATGAAGTGATATTCCGAGATCATTATAGGTTGAAAAAGAAATTATGATTTATTTTCAGAGTAATATAAATAGCCGTCAAAAATGATTTAAATAAAATTTGAGAAGTTTTGCTTAAAATAAAGAGCATAAAAATCAATATAAGACTTTCAATTTATTCAATTTCAATCTATTTACGTAGTGACTTTCAAATTAATCGAAGGTTTTATACTTAATCATTAAATTATGGTTTAAAAGGTGTTAATTACAACAAAAGTTTTAAAAAAATCGAATTTTTCAGGTGATCTATACGAATATGACCGGATCTAAAGAAATGGTGGGTATTCTGGCGAAAAGTGGCGACATCTGTTGACCGAACTACCAAACTAAACAGCCCCAGGGGGTTGTGGTGCGAACAGTTGCCCACTGCTATCACCGACCTCTTGCCATACCATAAAATATCGCCAAAAAATGGCCACGGTGTTAGATCTGTTGCTCCCTGAAGCAACACTCATCCTACCGAATAGATTAAGCTGGAGCTATGAGTCACCACACAAAAGTATTGCTCACCACGAGCAGAAATTTTTGCTTGGCGGTAGAAACATTGCTCAGGGAAACCATTAATCGAAAAAGCCTATGGAAGTAAAAGACGTTCGCGCTTGATAAGACGGTTAAAAATCAAGTAAGGTAAATTAATATTTAGAAATCAAATTAAATAAAGAAAATTAATTAAATGGACGTTTTACGTGCAGTTAGCATGCACGATAGTGAATATAATTGCGCAAGCAAAAAATTTAGAAATGCTGGAACGGCTCTATTATAATCGTAGACCGTAATAACTTCAGAATAAAACAATTAAAAGCTTTTTTATTTTTTTTTGGTTTTGTCGACGAATTACGGTAGTAATTAATAAGTAGCGACAGTAGTCACATTATGCCACATAAAAAGTAGCTGACGTTTGACAGGTAGGCGGACAATAAAAATGAATTTGATGGAAAAGACGTAAAAAATCCTATTACGACGAGGCTTGGAAAAATGGAAAACGCATTGTCTACCATAATAATAACATAAAAAGGGCGAAAGGTGATAAATAGCCCATGCCGGCCTATACCGCTTCAAACGTAAAAAAATAATATGCAAAATATGACATAAATGACATCAACAACAACAAAAATGTTGACCCGGGAGGTGAAGCCGTTGGGTGGCTGGAGCTGGATGGGGCACAGGGGTGGGGCAGTGACCTTGGCCGATCAATAGGCCATCGAATCGGGTAGTGGAAGAGGGGGAACGGTACAAGAAGAAAAGAGAGAGAAAGAGAGAGAGAGACAGACAGGGACCCAGCCAGCTGGTACCACCATTCCATCTATTTCCTCTATACCCCCTCGGGTCATCGGCCACACGCACGTACCCGGGAACACCAATCCGAATAATGGCCGGGTAGCCTGCGGGGGGCCAAACCAGATCTCATCCCACAAAACCAGACACAACCACACGCCAGTCAGTAGATTTTTTAATTTGCAACATGCATGGGGGGTTGGAAATCGGGGGTTGTTCAGCTCTGCGAATATATAGTCTGGAGGATATTCCGGAAATAGGTCTTTAAAGGGACGTGGAAGGCTTCGCTACCGGTTTTGTTGGTTATGGATTCGAAAATTTTTCAGGGAATGGAGGATTTTTATTGCGTAATTTATTACGGCCGTTTCGGGCGGCGAATCAACGTGGTGGGCAAGCAAAATCCAGAGCCAACAAAACAACAAAAATATACTAGCGACTTGCTTGTATTTTTAAAGGGGTCAGGAAGCACCAGAGTGGACAAACGGAAAGGGGTCGGTTTTTAACTTCGCCCCTCGTATTCGGCTGAAAAATGGCAGCTCAACGAAAAAAGAAACTTGCGCAAAAGCATCGAGCTGAGCATTCCTTCTTGGATGGATCGGAATATCACTACGTTCAACAACTACTACCAATAAATCTCGTCCTTGAAAGGCCTAGAAAATGGCCGGCAGGGCAAGAAAAATAGGTGGATGGCTGGACATTTCGTTGGGATGATTGATTGGGTGATTAGGATGGTGAAGGAGTAGATTGGCGGAGAGCGGAAAATGGTAGGCCAAAAGAGGGGGTGGAGGAGGAGGGCGAGGAGGCGAGGCGGAACGGCAAATGATACGGGATTATGATCGAGGGGGGTGGCGTGGAAAATATTGAAGGAGGTGGTAGATGGCAGAGGGAGATGCAGCTGGATGGGGTGTTAGGTAAATATTTGAGAAATGAGGAGAGGAGACCGACATATTGGGATGGCCATCCGGGGGGTTGCGTAGTCTGCAGGGCACCTCCACACTTGGGCTATTCGATCCCAAATACAAACATCTATGGCCCCGGCAAAGTACCAAAGTTTGGTTGGAGAGGTCATTTACCCAGCTCTTGCCATGTAGAGGGTGCTCCATAACAAAAAGACCCTTTATGATTGACGTATTAAGCTAAAACGAGAAAATACAAATTTTAAGCCTTTTAGTTTTTAATTCTGGTTTTATATGACAAGAAGGGGTGAAAAAGACGCTTGATGCGAAAGGTTCATTGTAATTTTTTAGCCAAATTTGCAGTTTTTATAATTTGCATCAATTCTGGGACACCCAGTATTGCATATCCCAATTGCACTACTTCCCACCCCCCTTCGGGTATCTTATCTAACCCTTTTTCTCTTTTCTTCCCCCCATATCCTCCAACATACACCACCTCCCCCCTTCAGTTTCAACCATCCACCGCCGAAAGATCCATCGACATTATAAGAAATTGTCGGGGACGAGAGATACGGGATGCCCACGCCGAACGGCCCGGCCAAGAATTTCCCCGCAGCCCCGCACGATCATTTATCCATTGAGCAACAGTTTTTCTAAGAGCCAAGGTTACACGGAAAGTGCTACACGTGTGAGTAATGCCAAGATCTAGGCGATTCTCGGTTTTTGGGCTAAGAAAGGGTTCCAAGTTTAGAAAGGTCTATTCCGGCCGGAAGTGAGAAAGGCGAAAGGGTTGGTCAGATATGTTATCAGGTATAAGTGTAGACAGGACCATGTTTTGCGGTGAATAGGGCCCAAAACTCTGACGTCAGGGCAACAAACGAATATTCTGTGGTAAGATAAAATATTTATTTGAAAAACACGATATTGTAAAGCAATTTAAGCCTCTAAGAATTTTTTGGAAGACAGAAAGCCCGGTAATCCTTAGAATCATGGCGGATGACGCGGATGTGATGCATATGAGGCACCATTCCCGGCATTCCGCCTGACCTAGAAATGAGCACCATCCAGCACCCGCCCCATACATTCCCTAGCCAGCACGCACCATTTCAGGTGACCTTGAAAGCATGGAGAGGGTGGACGTAGGGTTTGAAAGATCCGGTAGACAATTTACTTTGAATATGCGTGGAACAGAAGTATTCAAATATTACGGTTATAAGGTAATAGGAAAACACCTCCAGCTATTCAAACAAAATTTTTCTTTAGATTCAAATATATCAACAAGTTTTTAGAAATATTTAAAGCTAACAATTCTACTTTATGAAAATATTGTCTTGCATACAACTTCCGGCCGGCTTTTCCAAACGCATCCGTCAGAGCAGAATTTTTAAGGTGTTGGCTACATTCTATTAGCTCGGAATATCATGAAAACGTCATTTTTCAACGCTAAGCTTAGGTTTTTGTTACCAAATCAACCTTACTACTTCTTGAGAAATAAAAATACTTAACAAATATGACGATCAGTTTTTTAGCCTTGGTCTGTACTACAAAATAATTGGTAACAACCCAAAAAGTGTGATTTCTAATTTGCATGCGGCGGGTGGCAGGTTGGTAGGTAGTTATGGGTGTTCATAAGGATACCCCACGGGCGTCGGCTAAGGATCGACCTTGAGATTGTCCCCATGTCGGCCCTATTATCCGCTGGCTCGTCACCCGCAACACCGTAAACAACCGCAAAATGATGCTCCCTCCCTTGTATAGACATACCAGCCAGCCTTCAACCCCCGCCACCCGGCCACCCGGGGAAGAACCGTGCCAACCGTTCGTCTATAGGCAATTAGTGGAGCTCACAGTTATCGGTCGGGTTTGGGTACTGACCATTGCCTGGTACGGTAAATCACGAATATTGTTATGTCACTAATTTTTGTTATTTTATTTGATTAGCGGTAGATGGTGCCTTTAGCGGGGATAAGTTACACTTTTTAATTTTTCTGTTAGTTGAAAATTTGGTGAGAAATTCGTTAACATGGCAATTCGAAGAGTTTCAATAACATGTGGACTGGTACCTGGAATTGTTACCATCATGAATTTTTAGCTGTAAGATCAGGTTCCCTCCGGATTTGACTTTAAAAAAGTCTAAATCAACAGAATTTATTTTAGTAGTGATTACTGAAGTATTTAAATATGCAACTGTCATTAACCTGCAATAACCACTTTTTTATAATTAATTTTACGCGTCGAAACCGATGCCAAACGCGACGTCGCGGGCAGAAGAGAATGCGGTGGCGGGACCATGCAAATAATGGCGACTGATCAAACCAAACGGGAAAGACCATTCTCTCTGCCTAGCGTTTCACCGCCGAAAAATAGCTTCTGCCATTCGGATTTGGTGAATTGGCTGGTGCTTGATTTGCCTGGAAGCTAGTCATAAACTTGTTTTTCTGCTGGGTTTATGCTTTGAAAATATTGGTTTTGAAGAGCGCCTGAAAGAAGATGAAATGGGTTTTTCTAAGGGTTTTTTCTAACTTCTATAAGTTTCTAATGAAGCTATGTAGATGAATTTCTGTCAATGCCACTATCATATAAGGGAAGGGCATAGTTTTTACTACTTATGATGCCTAAATCCGGAAATAACTACTGTTCCGCCAAACCGCACACTATTATACGAATGCAAGTCCATCCCATTGTGATCGACGGATTTCCACCCTCCTCTGCCATTATTTCCCCACACAAAAACGATATGGCCCCGAACCTCCCAAAAAAAAACCCCTAAACGCCCCCTTCCCATCAGATGCGTGTCGATATTTTATTTTTTTGATGCGTCACAGGCGAGCAAAAAGAAATTGAAAATATGGATCAGGGTCTGGGAACGAACATTTGTGATCGACGACTTTTGGCTGGGTGTATTCCGCATGGAAATTGTTTTCGGAGATGTCTTAACCTTATAAAGATTTGTATAATTTAGACATAAGGCCGACATCCAAAAAGAATGTACTTATTCAAATTCAGTTTTCGATTGAAGGTATGGTAATACCGAATTTCCTTGATGGAATTTGTGCTCCCCCTCTTTGTTAGCAACTATCACCTGATTGAAATGTTGCTCACTTGAAATAAATCAGTAAGCTTCCCTCTTTCAACCTGCTTCGGCTTTTTAAGATGTGATTATCGGAGGTTGGCCCTATGCTTATCCAAGTAGACGTATCTGAGATATCATCTCATTTCAGTACAACCATCTCCAATAGGTTTCTCAAGGGCTTCTGGGCGGACAATTGCCAGGAAACACCGCAGGACTTTCACAGTCTCAATTCTCCCCCGTTTTGTTTGCTCAGGTTGCCATATTTGGATCGCGCATTTCCGGATTCTCCTCCCATTCTCCCAGCCTGCCGGGCAAATCAGTCGGCCGTTGGGAGTGGGTCTTTCGGAATTTTGTTTTTGCCTTGGAATCGATCCTTTTTTGGCTAATGGATTCGATGTGTTTGGACATTAGTGTCATCTGACTTCAACAAGATTTTGTATGCTAACGATTTCCTGTGTAATTTTGTCTCACGAGATTTTTCACTAGCAGCATTCTCTTCAAACCACCGAACAATTCCACTTCTGTTTTACCTAACGCCCCCAAAAACAAGGTTCAGCTTGACCGAAAAATAGGTAGCCACCGACGCAGTATCCATCGCAAATTGGCTGCCCCCGCCTATTCCAATAAAAAGTCGGAGCTTGTTATTCAGAGTATCCCCCTCTTTTCACAGTAAACGGCTCCATGCATCGATTGATCACAAAAGCCCCCCTTTTCGCCAGCTATTTTTTTGGGAAACCATATCATTCCCAGAGAAAAATACTCGTGAAGAAGGGTGTGAGTTCCAAATATTTGTCGATCGGCTTGGCGTGCTTTTCGGTCAACCATCCGCCCGGGGCAAGCGAATCATGGACCAAGCTTCCTTTAAATCTGGTTTTTGTATTTCTTATTTATTGCAAGCAGTTAGCGCCTTGCGCCAAAATCGAAACTAAATCATATTCTCGCTTCACATATTTTCATTAAGAGAAAGCTTTGATGTCAAATAGCGAAGGCTAGCAGATCTAATCTTGAAATCTAAACAGCTTGTACCTTATTTTGAATTGCTAATGTGTTGTCATACTGAGCACGCTTTGAAAAATTTAATGGCCTGCGAAAGGTGAAGGGGCGGAATTGAAAAGAAAACTAAGTGGTGCTGCAAGACGCGAAACTTTCGACAGCTTTCGACAAAGATCGTCTAGCTTTCTTGTTCTTTTATTTAGATAGTCATGACCGTATTCGAATACGCTCCCATTTCTAACCCTACTGAGCTTTATTATATTCACTGGTCCTGTCGCCTAATTTCCAGAGCCACCAAATCAACTTTTCAGCAAAACGGGCCGGATATTACCGATCAATTCTGGGGGCTCGAGGAAGTCAGGCTCGGGCTCAGCCTCGAGTAAGATACTATCAATCAAAAGTTACACTTTAATTTAGGTACTTCCTCGACCCCGTCGCCAACACCACCACTGCCTGGGACACCAAGTCGAGGGGTCCCGCGATATACTTCGATTGATCTGGAAGGGGAGCTACCGCAAATATTCTCGTGAGTAGCTTCCTGAACTTGAACATTGATTGTTTAGAACTTCACTGAATCCAAACTTGACCGATCCGGACATGACAGCATTTTATTCACATCCAAATTTGAGCAGGTATGGGGACCGGAAGTACCTTAATTCTGTATAATGATTTTTAAAGACCGTATCGCACAAAGGCTCCATCAAGACATAGTCCACCACCATTGTATGAGAATTCACCAGGTTCGTTAAACAAAAATTGGCGCAATGGCTATATTCAAGTAGAGAATTATATTTAAAGAATTTTAGTATAGTTTCAAAATCTATATTGTAGCCTATTTATACGATTTTGTTATGAATTAAAAATTTATATTTAGAAAATCGTATGCCGAATCTTAATTTTCAACATTTTCAGGCGTGACGCCCTCACCATCGTCAAAAGGCTCCCGTTTTTCATTTTCGTCATCGCAGCCAGCAACAGGCCGTGGTTGGGGTCGTATATGCTGGAAGACGGTCATCTACGCAATCCCATGCCTCATCATCCTTCTCATCATCATCTGGTCACACGCTGCTTATCTGTACTATGAAAAGACGAGGAAGAAGTGAACATAACTATATGTTGTACAATAATCATCTGAGCCCTGTTTTAAATTTGTAAAAACAGCGAAGCACGCAATGAATAATTTTCAACCTCAAATGGATTTAATAATATGCAAATTAAAATTTGTTTTGGTGTTTTAGCTATTTTTAAGGATTTTGAAAACCACTTCTCTGGACATCAAAATCCCCGAGAGGCCCAAATCATAGACAACTATAATACAAGGGGTCTAAGGGATTTTCTGAGAGTCTCAGAAAAATCAAAAATAATTGGAAAACGGGTTTCCAATTCTTTTGCTTATTGTCCAGGTTTTAGAGACGTTTTAAATGGCTTTTCAACATGTATAAATAGAAACTTTATCAACCTCTATTAAAAACAACAAAAATCAAACACGAATTGCAGATAATCGACAGAATGTGACTCGAAAGAATGGTTGGGGGGCATTCATTTTGAATAAAACGGGGACGGGAACTTCAGATGGCTGAAAAATTGCGCGGCATTGCAAGACCCGTGAGGGAGGAAGGAAGGGGAAACGGAGAAAAATATGTAGATATACGGGACTGTACGTAAACGTATAAATAGTATGGCATAAAAGGTCGAGGGAAATAAATGGGGGATCATTGGATTATGCCTACAACTATTTGAGATCATAATAAAGACGGTTTTCGGGATGGAACCGGGAAAAAATATATAGAAAATTTGGTAGGGGGCTAAAAAGAATTTTTTGTGCTTGTAGAAATGTTTTGAGACATCTGAAATTCCATCTTCAAGCACAAAAATACATTTAAAACTCTAACCACGGTATGCAAGTTTATGGTATAATAAAGGGGGGTGAAGGCACATGGTCGGTTCACAATTTGAAAATTCAATGTGTCAACTATTTGGGCATTCTTTCCTAGATTATTTCCGGAGTGGTAATCTGAAGACTATTTGGAAATTGATAATGCTAAAGCTGCCCATATACCCCAGGTTTTTGCATGAAAAGTTAAAGTAATGTGTCGTTATCATCGGGGGTTGTGGGAGATGATGATGATGACGATGTTTGGCCTATTCCACCTGAAAAAAATTGGATTAATCAAACGTCGTGATTTATGGGATATAAAGCTGCTATGCACTATGCTTTGGACGTGAGGACAGCGGGACAGGTTTTAAACATCTTCACATTCCGCAAACATCTCAAAAATTTTTGGTAGTGATATACAGTATATTGTACAATTTTTTTGGTGCACTTAATCGGAGGTTTTTTAGGTCAAAAATAATCTACCCTATTAGATTTGTCATGCATTTAGTACATAAACGGACCAGGTAGAGTGGTGGATGGAGATGTGGGCGATGAGTCGGACAGCGGAGGCTCGTGAGAAGATAGCCGCGAGACACGCATCTCTTCGCCGCCATTAGCTAGCTAAAGAATACATGGATGCTGGCTGATTCGAAGGGTGTAACGTGTAACATTCCGTGAAACATACATCTCGGGAATTTCGTGACTTTTTATGATTTTTGGACTTTAAAAAAACGTTAAAATTGAACTGGGACTAACCGATCGATCGTCATGAATCTAATTTTTCTCTAGTTTTGAAGCATTTTAATTTAACTGCCGGAAAGCGTAGGCGCATGTACGTAATACGTTTGCATGCGTACTACGTCTACACCTATCAAACTCTGCGTCTCTCTTCTTCCTAGTTATATGTGATAGGTCACAATGGCAAAGGCTAGGCTTTAAAGAGCGTTCAAGGATATATCGCCATTAGCGCCGACCTATTAGCAGTGTATTAAAAAGTTAAACTATCCACAAAGCTTAGCAACTCCAAGTTTAAAAGTTAAAATCCAGCTTTACAATTTTTAGCTCTCTAGCCATCCACAATATTGAATATTACTGTAGCCTCCCATGCGGCAGTAAAGAAAAGAAAAATTAACATTTCCCAAGATCGGAATCCTGGGGTGTAAAAAGTCATTAAAAAGAGACATGGTGCTGATTGAGGGGGAGATGGGAGGATGTGATGAGGTGATGAGGCTAGGTCTAGCCGGTGTGAATATATACGGATTAGACATTCAGGGTATATGACCGAGTGGCTGTTATTTGCTATGGAAATAGTGGTGGATGCACGCACCCGGAGATCCTGATGTGCTGGCGTGCGTTTACGTTGCCGAACCTCCGGCTCGTCGTCGCCTAAAATTCGACATTTCGGGGGATACGGTGGGGCAGGGTATGAGGGCAGGACACTGCAGAACATGCATTTAAAAACCAATAAGTTTCATTTATAAAAATTGTTGTAATTCATCACCAAACGTAAACTTTCTACTTATATTTCTTGCCAGTTTACATCAGTTATTTTAAAAAAATATAAGAAAAGTATTTGTTTCGACAAAATTACATTAATTCCTGAATAGGTTTACTTTTTCTTGGCTTTATCTATTGAAATTTATATTTTCCTCGAATATATAAATTTTTTGAAAAAATAATTTAAAAGATTTTGTCTCTAAAAATTAAAATTTTTTGTCTCAATTTAGACTTTTCTTGTTTTAGCTGTCGAAAAGGATCCATTTACGAGAAGTATATAAAATACTACTATTACCTATTACTTTCATTGAACAAACTGTAAATTTCCATACATGCCCCATGCAACAGCCATTACGAAATGATATTCAAATGCTACGGGCTTTAAACAGATGTTACTACCGAATGTTATGGAAGGGATGGCCGCCCTGCACAATCACATCGAGACTACAGACAGTGTTCACTTATTCGTACCACAATATTACGGGTGAACCGACCAAAAACGGAATATAGTTCTCGAATTCTTACCGGGCAGCTTGCCATGAGCTTTTAATAATTTGATAAGCGTTTGCATATCTTCTCGGACTTCCTTCTTCATCTCGTCCAAGCTTCTAAAAATCGGATAAGATAATTAAGGGTATTCCAGTCTTACTTTTCTACAGCACTCATCCTCCTCGAAATTTGTGAGATTTCTTCACTATCGTTGTCATTACCTAGAAGGTAAATATTTTAATGTTCTGAAGAGAGAGAATACTGACCATTCGATCGTCCCGGCACTGATCCACTTGCTAATGCGTGTATTGTCGGATTTACGGTTACGGTATGACGCGAGAAAGCTCGAATGTCCTTAAGAAATTTTAGAAGGTCATCTGATGGAAAATGATAAAAACCTCAAAAGCATTATCATCACCATCGGTGTGAATTGATGGATGATGTGGTCTTCTGAGTAGTGGTACAGATTCAGCTGGAGGTGATGCTCTTGAGGAGCCTAAAGCGTTTTTATGAAGCGTAATCATAAATTAAAAATGTTAATTTATCAGTAATTACCTGACGGTCTCCTTTCATCGCTACCTCTTGATTCAGCACCACTCCTCCTCCCGCGCTCCACGATTTCTAAAAAAATAGAAGTTTCTCATTATAACCAGGCTGTAATTTGTATCCGCGTGGATGCTGTTAATAAAGAGCAGTCGCAAAAACGATAATTGTACACAACTGACTCGATGACTAACTGATATCGGTACTCACTTTTACACAACTATTTTAAATATGGGACATTTGCATTTAACAGAACCAACCCTAACTTAATCAACTCAAGTTTCAACATTTTGCTATACAATAAGGATTTAGGCACGCCTAACATTCCAAAAATATCCGGAACTTTTTAAGCCTTAACTGAATTGTGATAATAACATTTTTGCTTGACAACTTTTCGATTCAGTGACAATGCTTTTCACTTCAAACAAACATCAAGCCCACCGGGTATATTGTTAATAAACTTTGAATTTACAATAAATGTATTATATACCAATAATATCACCCGAGAAGACATGCCTGAAGTGATGGGATCGTAGAGGCCAGATGACGGTAGACGGAAGAGGGGTGAAGCCGAGAATGGGGCCAATGGCGATGATGTTGATGGGCCACCGAAGGGTGGAAGTGGTGAGCATGGCGTGTGGAAGGCTGAGATCGATGACAACGGTCGGGGGGAACGAGGTCGGGAATCAGCCGATCGAGGACCACCTTCTAGAGGATCGGTCCTTTCTCGCACAAACCCCCCGGAAAAATTGAATAGTTTTGTGATATCGCCAGGAGGGAAACGAACGCTACATGCATCAACCGAAAAAGCGATTGGTTTCGGGGTTAGTTTTGCGCTTTGGGTTACGGGGGAGGCTTGGGATGATTTTTTTGTGAATTGAAAGCTGGGCAATTCTAGATTGATTACATACTATAACCTTTTTGCTAGGTTTTTAATAAAGTAGGTTGAACAAATTACTTGTCACTAAAAGTTCATTTTGCCGAATGATATTTATAAATGCTAATTTGGATAGTTGATTCTATCGAATGTCTGATCACATCTATTAGCTGAACTGTATGACTTGATAAACAAAATTTACAAATTTTCTAGACAACAAGAGTGAAAACTTGACCCGATTAGAATTAGGGTTTATGCGAGATGAAATTCAGCAAAGCGAAAAATCGGCGAAACGAATTTCATTCGAATAGATTTTCTGCTCAAGCCTCCCCACCCCCGTTTTCCTGAATTATTACATAGCCAAAAGCCGTTAGGGAAGTTCCGTGCAAGTTCCTACTCCCACCCTAGCACCAACCGTTCTCCCGATCCTGAGCAGCAATCCCCGTATATCGATCCTTATTCAACGACGAGCTCATCCGCAACAGCTTATGCTTGTCGAACCTCTTTTTCATCGACTGTTCCTCGTCCCTGGAGCTCAATATAAATATAGTTAACGCTCCTCGTACCTCAAATTGTAGGTGATATGCAGATTTTTGCAGAAATTCTCCGCAAATTCCGGGTACATCTCGAGGACGTCGAGGAGGTCTTCGCGCAGGATTTTATGCAAATCACAGTAAGTCAATGCGCGCACATTGCTCGAAGATTTGCCTACATCTTCATACAATAATGGATTTTCGCCAAAGATGTCGTCTTTTCCTAAAATCGGTTATATTGGGTTTCCCCTGAAAAAAGACTTACCTAGAATACCCATGACTGTATTATCGTCTTTCAGAATTTCAACAGATCCTCGCGCAATAAAATGCAGACCGGTAAGAATATCTCCTCGATGCACTAAAGTATCACCAGGTGGAGCGTGTGTCATTCGAAACCTAAATTAGCTTGGTAATTTTTGTAATGTAAATATTGCTCACCTCATTGAAAGGGCTCGTAGACAGCCCGGAGACGTGCCGGCAAAGGCTGGACAATTGCTGAGGAGATTTCTATTCAAATGGAGGCAGATATCGGCTTGTAGGCAATCGGGGAAGCCTTTTAGTACCTGAAAAAAAAAGTTAAATATCGCCTATTGTTAGTTATTTACCGCGCTCATATCGATTCCATTAGTGTAGCTCCAGGCATGTTGGAGGTATTCTTCTAGACGTTGTCGAAGCGGATTTGGGATTTGATGGAATCGGATGAATTCGCGAAGGCGTGACATTTCGGTGTGGTATCTGAATTAAGAATTTTAATTTGAGATTACGCCACAATAAGCGAGGTTATAACCCTTACCTTGCTGTTCCACTGTATAGTCGTTGAATAATGGCTGATACATTACCGAATACGGAAGCGTACATCAAAGCTAAATTAAAATTGATCGTTAAAAAACAAAATAACTAAAATTAATTATTTAATACTTACATCCTAGTATCATCATAATAATTGTAAAGATTTTTTCCGAATCCGTCGTCGCAGAAACGTTTCCGAAACCGATGGAGGTAATTGTGGATAGTGTAAAGTAGAGGGAGGTCACATATCGACTCTAGAATTTCATAAATATTGATATTAATTAAAAAGCTTACTCGTAATGACGGACCTCCGACGGGCACAGTTCCATTTGTATGTATGTATGGAGCTTTTAAACTTGTTGCTAAAACATTGATGATTTAAGATATCCGTTTGGAAATTTACATAAGTGATGGAGCCAAGTAATTTCTTTGTGTGCGAGTTCAGCGCTACCGATCGCGTACCTAAAAAGTTGTTAAAAAACACATAAAAATGAGCATTACCATATACAAGCGAGCCAATGAGCTATTAGTGCAAATGTTGCCATTAAGAGGAGAAGGACGGCGGCACCGTATTCAGAGTATCTAAACGGAATTTTGAACAATATGCACCTATCTTAAGGTTAATAGTTCTACACTTGTACGGCTGTATTTTGTCAATTTAACAATTTTTAAGGGAATGCCAAAATCCTTAAGATATTAATTATTTAATTGAATAGAAAAATTTAATTATGTTCTAAACAAGCATGGGTAATTATCGATTTAATAAGCATCAAGCTGTTAATAGAGGCAAAATGTAAAGAAATAAATTCATTGCCTTTAATTTACAATCTTAATTCAAATTTGCTAATATTTAAAACGTATCTTTAAGCTTTATTGAAACCTCTTTGCGTTTTAGTTATTCAAATTAACTAGAAAATTCAAGCGTACCTATCCAGTTTTCTGGCAACCCGTACCAGCCGTAACAAACGAGCCGTTTTTAGTAGACCAATAAGAGTTGTAGTCTGCAAAAAACACTATGCATTCGAACCTAAACTACCTCATCAGAATTTGTATTCACCAGCAACAAATCGAAAGGCACGGCAGCAATCATATCGATCGCAAACCAACCCTTGAAGTAGTGGATCGCGATCTTGCCCGGATGGGAGACGACCTGAAAATTGTAGGGGGGCATTAGGATGCAGCGGCTTCAAAGCCACCTGTACCTCATCATTCTCGTTGACATAGGTCGTCCGAAAATTGATGATAATGTCGACGATGAACATGATGTCAACGATGAGGTCGACAATTTCCAATGGTTCCGATAGGCGGGATCGTCGATTCGTGTCGGCCATCTGCAAAAGGGTACCTAGGCGCGAATAAAATTAGTATTTTACGCACCAAAGAGAGGATGACAATAACTTTTTAGATAATTTTTTGGAGCGTTGGAGTTGGATAAATTCTTGCGTAAAGCTAGGTTCAAGGAATTGGGTATGTTGAAGCGATTTAAAATATGAATATCATACCCTAGGGAGAACCCTGTTTGCCCAAATCGATAGCTTTCGGTTTCATTTATACTATAATCCCTTTCCGACACCTTGTTTTAACGTTACATCGTTATTAAATTGTACAAAGCATTCTTTCATTACGCGTAAAACATATTATTGATGGAAAAAGCACTCTTTGCCAATCTTACTAAATTTTAATGAAAATTCCTAGCTGGTACTGCTATCAAAAATTTCAATAATCTCATTAAACTCTACTAAACGATGAAGGCAAGATTAACTACTGCTATTTACGATTAAGTTTATATCGATTTAAAAAACGTATTCTCGAATAACACAAAACAAAATTTAAATTTAATTTTATAACCAACCTCTCGAAGCAAAAACGCGGCCACATACGGGGTGAAGATGGCGGTGTAGATAACAAGTAGCAAGATGACCCAGTCCCATACTGCCTAAAAATATAAATTTTAAATATACAAATTAAATGATAATATAAACATAAATAATCAATCTTCCACCTACCTTGAATGGGGAATAGTGGACAATTGTGCAGTGGTGTATCCGAGTCGGCTGCAGCTTGTACTCGGGCAGCACATCGGCCCCCAACGATAACACCTGAAAGAATAATCATCATATATGCTTTAAAGCCAAAAACCGATCGGCCATTTTTATTGCCATACCAGGAATACTAGGCCGATAACCAAAATGTTTATTAAGGCACTGTACCCGAATCGATGGCCTCGGCGACAAGACGTGCGCCAAAATGTCCGAAATTTTGCGCGGTTTTCGACAAAATACGCGGAGCCCCCCAAAATGGGGCTCACCTGGCTATTTTTTGGCGATTTGGCGGGCCCTTCATCGCGAGGGCCCTCTCCTGGGGCCCCTCCGCGGCGCCCGCGCGTAATTACCAATTTCCAGCGCCCGAAAACAGCCCCGATGAATACGGGGCTAATTGGCGGAAGTCTCCTTTTGGGCTCTTTGGAAAATCGTGGGTAGCGAAGGCCATCTATTAGGCATTTAGGCTCTTTCCAAGGATGATTTTGTCTCGAAATTTCGGGTGGAGTCTAAGCATGCAAAGACCAAACATTTTAAGGGGGTTTCATGCAAGCAGACCGTTTGAGGTTGAGTTATTTACTTTGATTTTAAGCAATAGGGCTGGTATCGTTCAAGTCAAATTATGTTTCAAAAACTGCAGATTTCGTCGTGTTACTTATTGATTAGCATCCAATGTTTAAATAAGTGCTTTCTAAGACACTTTGTAAGCGTTTCTTAACGCACGATTTTGAAAAAAAAAACGTTTTTTTCTGTCGTGCATGCAATTATTTGAACATTTACGAAAACTGGAACCCTACAAAGATCTTCATATTTACAATTTGATTTGAATAACACCAGCTCTAGACTATGATTATATTTGCATAGATGCGGTAGCCAAGCAAATTCGATGAACCTGTGTAGCGTTGATCCGTGGCCCGTGCACCAATACAAAAGTATGCTTCGGCTGTCGTGGATTCCCGTTGATCTGGGCCAACGGCTCCCAATCGGGGATTCCAAGCTGCTCCAGTTTGCGCCAACAATACCAAGACTATACAGCCACCCCTCCAATCCAGTTCGAGGTGGATTGATTCTTATTACGGGCTGCTTGCCGACAGGTGCTTCGGATCTTGAAGCTTTCGTCAAAAAGGGGGGAGAGAAAAGAGGGGTAGGGATCGATTGTGGCCCTGGTGACAGTCGACCAATTAAGGGCAGCAGCACAGGTGTCAGGGTGTCGCCCCGGGGGAGTTGCCCGCCTAGGCCGCCCCATAATTTAGCACTTTGAGGGGCTGGCAAGACGTTCGGGGAAGGGCACATCATGTTACGGGTTGACAACCAGGAATAGGGTTTCAATTAAAAATGATAATTCCTAATTTCCGGTGAAGGGAAGCTTTTTTGAAGTGCGCGTTCATACGTTACCATGATATCGTTAAGGATACACTTATATACGCCGCGAAACAAGAGCAAAGAGGCCGACGTAGACGTAAGTAGGTGTATACGTACTATTTGCCTAACCTACCGCTCATTATACGGAATTAAAGACTTTGAAAAAGAATCTACTTCACTTTTTAATCACCTTGTATGAGTTGTTCTGCAGCACGACCATGATGTTTTTGGGCAGTGCTGGGGCCATCGCATAGCTTCTTCAATAGCCACTATGGCTCGCGTACGCTCTTTACCAATTTACAGCCCATGTAAACCTTGAAAAAACTTGAATTCCAACATGAATATAAAAACTAATGCAAGTAGATCGGGTTGTGGCCAAGCGCCTATGGCTGTTATGGGTGTGGAGGTTGTTAGGAAGCCGTTGGGGGCTTAGGGTCATCGAGAAAGGAATAATTCCTAGTGGAAAGACGAGAGAAAAAGAGAGACGGATAGATAGGGAGGGAGAGACCGAAATAGAAGCCGCCCTGCAGATCCTATCGCTTGCCCATTCAGCGCCCCCCAATATGAACCAGCCGCTAGCCTTTTATATTGCACTGGGACACTGGCCAAGAAGTGGAAAAATCGTTGAAAGAGATTTAGTTATTTAGTGGAAATGGTCTTCTTCAGTCTTATTCTTCATTCTTATTTTATTCAGACTTTTTCTGATTTGTTAAGGCTTTCGGTTCGTATTAAAAACTCCAGAATCAAATTAAAACAAATTACGCAGAAATAGTTTGTTTTGGGGCCTTTCGAACTTGGAATCAAAACCGGTAACTTAATTAAATCCGCAGATTTAGGCAATTTGAATAGCAGCAGCTTTAAGTATTGAAGAGTAAAAGTAAGAAATACTGCCATAAAATCCCTGGTTTCTAGGAAGAGGTCCGGCTAGGAAATGATTAATCAAACGTCGGCCAAAGGTGGAAGACGTCCCATCCCAAGAAAGGGGGGGTTGTAATTTCCATTTCTCTCCAAAAAAAAAGAAGGGGGCAACGAATGAGCTGATTCTCTCAACACCCATTAGATTAGCCTGCGTCTGCCCAATGCGTTACAGGTTTCAAAAAATTCAAAAAATTCTAGAAGTTTCTGCTGAGCCAAAGATCAAAGCCCAGATACCTTAAAGTAAGGAGGTTTTACAAAGGCGGCAATGTTGCGGAAAGGCGGTTCAAAAAAGGGGCCGCAAGGCGTCTGGGGGCGGATGATGGATAAGAAGTGGCACAAGCAGCGAAACGAAACGGCCCTAAAACGAGGCTTTTGCATCTAGGAAAAAGGGGGAAGAGGGGGTTAAGCCGAAGGGACGGCGGCGACATGGATAGCTCGCTAACTCGCGTCCCACATCGATCTTTGCGCTTCAATCCAGGGGATGGAAAAAACTTGAGAAGCACTAGGCACGTAGATGATTGGTTTTTCGGCAGGAAGTGTTTTTCGGGATTTATAAAATTTAAGGAAAAATTGGATAGGGAGCCCGAACGGCTTTTGTTTTAGCTGACACATCGAAAAGTCGCCGACAATTTTCATGTCCATGTCGAGAAAGAGTTCTCTTACCCATGTTATAGCCTAAGAATAGCCCAAAACCAGCTAGACACTAAATATGTTCGCATCTGGATTTCATATATTTTGCACTGCGAAAAATGTATCAATTTTTCTTGAAGCTTATAGTTTCTGTTTTCCTAACAACCAATACTTGCGTAATATTCCTAATAAAAACTAAGACATTTTTAAGATTAAATTCTATAAAATCCAATAATGTTGCGAGCGGTGAAAATGTTGGACTGAATGTGCCATCCATCCCTTCATCATGGCCAGACCACCCACCCCCAAAGAATGTCTCCTCCCCTCGGGATATATAACGCCCCAGCATGCAAATAGGCGCGAGACGCGCGAAAAATTGGGCTTCCGAAGCATGCGTCGCCCAGATCGATCCCAATAATTATGCTGCTCGCCTAAAAAAGATGGGAAGGGCAATAGGAGAAGCGGAATGGATCGCCACGGAGAACCGACCCCTTTAAGAAAAAGAAGAAGAGATCTGACGCTGTGGTCGTCGAGATGGGGGACACCTCTTCTCCCCTATTCCTTTATACCCATCCCTATCGGTTCCGATGCGCTGCTCTTTGCATCTTGGGCTCGGCCTGGGGGGCCTCTCCTTCTCCCATTCCCTTGGTTGAGCGCCAATTATTTGTAGACATCCAATTCCGCGAGCATACAATTAGCGACACTCCACTGGAAACTGAGATGTCACGCTGTGGTGGCTGGGGATGGGGGGGGAGGGGTATGGAGATTTTGAGGATGGATATATAGTTGAACATTTGAGGGTACATGGGATTTTGGGTACTAAAGATTAACTATTAGTATTGCGAAAAACAGCATATCACATTTTCAGCTTCTCCGAATACAGAATCGAGGATTTTGAGAAGCTTGCTTATTTGGCAGCTTCGTTTTTTTCAGGGTTGGAACGGTTTGATGAGCTTCTTTGAATGGTATTTCTAGGCTTCGCGAGTTTATGGAAATTCGTGATTATTAAAGTTCAAGATTCGGAAGACTCTAACGTGTTGCCGACACTGTATCCAATATTAAAAAAAAACAAAAACTCACCACATTCAACTTAGTGCCCGTCTTCCCATCCTGAACAAGTATCTGCTTCATCAACGGCACCGCTGCAGTCGATGCCCCGTTTGTCGAGTTCATCGCCCGAGCACAAAATTCCTCAACAAAACAGCGCTAGCCGTTTAGCGGCTGGGGGGCAGGTTGATCTCTGGGACGACGTCGGCTTGCACTCCACCTCCCTGGAGCACAATGGACAATCGACACGCCGAATAATGGAGCGCATTTGGTGTGGCCAGGGTTTGAAGCAGGAGGAGAAGGCCCAGGTCGTCGTGTGGCCTAGACCGGGCGAAATTCGCGTCGAAAAATTGCTGGGGAGGGAGGGTGGGCGCCGATTTTGGGGAAGGCTTTCACGTGTTTTGGCACACAGTTGACGGAGCAAGAGGTGGGTAGAGGAGGGCGGTTAGGTCTGACGAGTTGAGAATGGCCGGAGGGCCAGACGAATAGAAGTCGTCAATCGGCCTTTTATTCTGAAGCGTTTAAGAAAAGTAGGTTGGGAATTGGAGAATGGGATTAAAAGGGTGAAAAAGGTCTCCTCTGTTTTCCCTTTGAAAGCAAAATTTCAGGATTTGAGTAAGATTATCAAGGAAAAGGAAGTTGCCAGCCATAGCCTACGTCAAAAAGGAACGCCCGCATGATATATGCCAGTGATTCAGTAAAACGGAGAGCTTGAAGGGCTGTCGGGAATAATGGCACTGGCTATTATTCCTAGTGCTGCCCCTCCCCGACCCGATCTCCCCTTCTCTATCCCTCGCTTCTTCCTTCCCCTTCATTCCTGAATGTGGCTGGTCAGCCCTCTGAATATTCAGTCTTTGCATTAGAGAAAAAGTTTTCTGATGTCAGAAACCCAGATTTTGCTTTTGAAAGTCACTGGCCAGAGATCGCAAAACTAGGCAAATCCTTACATTTTATAAGCCTCAAAACAAATATCGTCATTTAAACCCGAGCAAAAAAACGGAAGGCGCCCGATTTAGGAAACTTTTCCAAACGAAAACCAAAAAATGGGCGTGGGACCGGAATTAGAAGCTCGTGAGATTTGGCAAACCCCCCGGGCGAAGACCAGGAAAAAAGTTGCCGGTAGCTCCGGGATACAACGAACGACGCTTGCCATGGGGCACCCTACGGGATTCCAGTTTACAACCAAATGACGTAGAGGCCTTCAAAACTATTTTGCAAAAACTAACGGGGGCCAAGGGTAAAAATTAGCTTTTTTGAGGAGTAAAATAATCGTAACCGGATTTAAAGGACTGATGCGTTCTATTAAATCAAATCCTGTCCGGCACAACATGAATCAAGGAATGTTGTTGAAGCTAAACCCGGGTCTGCCTACACACACCGGACAATACCCGGCTAATGCACGGCAATTCTATAAAAACGAGCGGGGAGGCGATCCGACCAATATTGTTGTGGGCACACCGGATGGGCCATGGATGGTTCCGCTTCACCCAAGCCATCTCCCCCTCCTAGGAGGGCTCTCAGGTTATTCCGGTGGGTGAGTAATCAGCGGTTTTTCAGACCCCCCTTCGCCCAGGCAAAGTTCGAAGTATTGAATTTCGTTTGGGAAAGTCGACCGGGAAGTGACGGGGGGATGGCCGGGGGGAAATCTCGGGCCACGCTACGAACGGCGTTTGTTGAGTTAAAAACGGGAAAATTGGTCTAATTATGGTTAGAAGATGGGTTTGGAGGGGATGGAACGGAAAAATAGGAACGTGAAAAACAAAGGATGATGGAAGTTACGTTATGGCAACGATATGGCAGGGTTGGAATTCTTTTTAAGCTGGCGTTCCATTCTTTTTATAGCATCAATAGAAGAATCTGTCATACTCTGGCCAGTCAAAATCTAGAAATTTTGAGATGTGAAAATGTCGTGTTGATGAAAATACGAGATTCCAAAAAATCAGCGGTTTTCAAAAGTCCACATGTTTAATTGTCCAGTTTCCGGTACACAATCCATAAAAACGGGTAATTCAGTTTTCATATAGCGACCGTAAGTATTATACCAGTATCAAAACCTACCGTAAATTTTCGCACAGCATGATGTCGGGGATGGGCTGCAGGCTGTGATACGGTGGCCGAATGTGGGCCATGCCGACGAACAATTACCGCTGCACTCATCACATTCGTCGGCGCCCATCATGATCAATGGTACCGATCATTGCACCAATGGATTTGGCCCGAAAAACGGCGCTAATTCTATTAAAATGGAATTAAAGAGAAATTCAGGTAAATCTTAAAGGGATAGATGCTCGGTAGTTCTTAAGTATTGTGTTTTAAATCCAATGAAACGGCCAGTTGATCCAATTCGAGAATCCATATTCAATTTGATGGCAAATTTCTCGTAAACAATTCCTGTCTTCCAATTCTGAGTTTGAATTATGGCCGTCTTTGCCTCAGATTTGTTGCTAGGATGTCAAAAAATACGTTATCTCCGCCTTAATTTTTAGATTCTTGAATTTTTGAGATTTTTAAGGTATAAAGTCTGTTAAATTAGTGGAAAATGAACGATTTGCCACCCCTTAAGAATTTTTCTTATTAAACATCATCAATTTCAAAAACCGGACTAAAGCTTAAGCCAAAAACCAAAATCCCCTTATATCCGCCGGCCACAAT